TCGGCAGTCCGGGAAATGGGGCACCGCTGGCTGTGGCCGTCTGGGGAGCTGGCTGTGTGGGGCCCTGTCTCAGGGTGAGGTCCACTTGGTCCCCTCTGCGTGGGGTGGCGACAGTGACGGGGCAGGTTGTGGCCTGTGCTGGTCTCTGGAAGCCGCCTTCGTGGGGTGGGAGCAGGGCAGGCTTGTCCAGTGACCCCACCCCTTGGGGCATTTCCTCCTTGCCGCCTGGGCCCAGGGGCTGCTGGAGGCAGGCTCTTCACCTGCAGGGGACACGTTCAGCACCAAGGACAGCAGCCCACCCCCTGGGCAGCGGCTCTTGAGCTCCTTTCCCGCCTGCATCCTCTCCACTGGCCTTGGGGTAGATGAGCTGTCCCCATCCTTTCTGCTGGATCTCACCCCACTTCTGGGCGAGGACAGGCAGCAGACACCCGACGGGGCCCAAGGTGGCCCTCCAGGCCATGGCACTGGTGTGCATGGTGGAGAAGGGAGGAGGCATGGGTGGGGGAGAGTGAGGACACTGAGCTTCCCGGGTGTACCTACCCTCCCCCGCCACCCGCCAGTGCCTCAGGCAGAAGGCCGCTCTCATCTTGGCCAACCTGGGACTTGGGTCAGGGTCTGCTCTCAGACGCCAGTTGCAGGAGGGTCCCAGAGCTTCCTTTGACTCTCCCGGCTGGCTCTCGAGCTCCCTGAGGCCCAGCACCCTCCCGGCATACCTGGGTCTTCCCTGGGATACCCTGTGGCTCTACGTTGCTCGGGCCTTTCCTTGTAGTGGGCACAGGGAGACCTGGCACCCTTGGGCACCTGCCGGCATGCCCTCCCACAGAAATGGGGCCTGATGTGAGCTGCTGACCCCCGCTGCTCCGCACCGCTGCGCCCCCGCAGGGCCCTGTGCAGTGATCCGTGGCACTACATGCTTTTCCTCTCACCGCTGAGCCTGTGTGTGTGTAAAGACAGTAATTAGAGATGGAATCTCAATTGGAAAATAAACCGCAGCACGTTGCAGGGTCGATGACGAAGACGGGCCCTGGCTTCCCCACTGCAGCCTCCCGCCCCCCACCCTTCAGGCTGTGGCCCGGTCAGGAGGACCTCTCACAGCACACTCTCCACTCCCTGCACCCAGGAAGTGGCAAAACGGCTCATAACCCAAACATTCTGCTCATAATCCCGAAGCTGGGGGGACCAGGATGCAGATGGTGGCATTGCTGCCTAGGGCCCCAGGGAAGCTTTACTTAGGAGGGACATCTTCATGCTGGGCTTTGAGGGATGTATAAGAGTCTTCAGGGTACAGTGATGGGGAAAGGACTTTCCGGGGATAGGGGCAGCAAGTGAAAGAAGATGGATGCAGGAGTGGCCAGAGCTCCAGGACACAGTTGGGGATGGCTCTCCTGCGCCCCAGCCTGCTGTGTCCTGGCTGCCTTTACCTGAGCCCTGAGGAGTCTGAGCACTGGCAGGAGGCTCCTGGTGACTGTGGCTCCTCTGTGCCTCTGTTGCCATCCAAGAGGCCGCCCGCCACCTGAAGCCCCCAGGCCCCAGATGCAAGGAAGTGGGCAGGCTCTGTGGGTGCGCCAGGCCCAACCCCAGTGGCTCCATCCCCGCCAGAACCTCCTCTGGGAAGGTGGGGGCTTGTCAGGAACACTCTATTCCACATGGCCCCCTGTCCTCCCGGCCCTTCTGAGCAACATATGCTGTCAGCAGATGGAACCACTCTTTCCTTGTCTGCGACACGCTGGCAGAGGGGCCCCACTCAGAACAGCACCTGGGGCAAGGCCGGTGCTCCTGATTGGTGGTGGGGCCAGCAGCACCCTTTCAATATCGGCTCCTGGGAAGTTGGCCCAGGTGGCTGTCAGGCTCCCCTCCATTTTCAGTCCCCTTTCTTTCCTTTTCTGGAAGCAGGACGGTGCTCTCCACACACCTTTTGCCTCGTCATTCAAGGATGTGTCTGTACAGGCTAGGAGTGTGCCTGCATGTGTGCATGAGGGTGTGTGTGTGCATGAGGGGTATGAGTGCACTATGGGCATGTGTGCATGTACACTGGGGTATATGTGTGCAATTGCAAGTGTACGTGCACTGCAGTGTGTACTGTGTGCACACAGTGTTACTGGATGTGTGCATGGGTGTGTGCACAAGGTGTAGGTATCTGTGTGTACACGAGTGTGTGCATAGGGTGTAGGTGTGCATGTGTACATGGTTGTGTGCATGGGGTGTAGGCATGCGTGTGTGCACGGGTGTGTGCATGGGGTGTAGGTGTGCGTGTGTACACGGGTGTGTGCACAGGGTGTAGGCATGGGTGTGTGCATGGGTATGTGCACGTGTGTGTGCGGGGCATGTGTGTACAAGGGTGTGCATTGGGTGTGTGTACAGGGTGTGGGCATGTGTACACAGGTGTGTGCGCTGGGTATGTGTGCACAGAGTGTAGGTGTGCGTGTGTGCATGGGTGTGTGTGCACGGGGTATAGGTCTGTGTGTACACAAGTGTGTGTACAGGGTGTAGGCCTGTGTGTGTGCATGGTGTGTGCACGGGATGTGTGTGCACAGGGTGTAGGCATGTGTGTATGCAGGTGCGTGCACTGGGTGTGTGCACGTATGTACATGGGGTGTCTATACTTGGTGTGTGGGTGCATGTGCACATGGGCATGTGTGTGCACAAGTGTGCCCTGGTGTGCACGCATGCATAGAAGTGTGCACACCCCTGCACTGGGACCTGCTGCTCTGTAACCAGCATCCTCTGTGCTCAGCAGTGAGTGTCTTCTGTGGTCTGATCAGGTCTCACCATCTAACAGCTGCCAGTGCCCTTGGTGGCTATGCCCCGATGACTTCACTCGCCTCGTGTGTGGGGCCATTGTTTTTGAAAAGGCACAGCCACCAGGACCACCCAGAGGCCTCGTTGCGCACCTGGGAATGTGATCCCCGTGCCCTTGGGGGTTTGACCACAGCCTCCTCCCGCTTCACCCCCTGGCTCTCATTACATCCTGGAGCCGAGTGCGGGCCCTTCCTCCTTTGGGGTCTCCTGGCCCCAAAAGGACATAGGGACTCCTGAGGGTGCCTCACGCTGGGCGTTTCTGGGTCATTCCTTCCTCTCTTTGGGAGTTTCTGTCCTGGCCTCTGGCTGCATCCTCCCAGGGTTTGGTCCTGGGAAGTTTTAGGAGCTGGATGGCCTTGGGGCCAGAGGCTTCTGGCAGGGGCCACGCCTTGGCCTTGCAGCCATGTTCGGGACGGTGAGCTCCAGCTCCTTTCTGTGTGGGGGGTTCCCGCCCTGGGGTGCAGGCCAGCCTCGTGCCTGGGAGGAGTGCACTGCAAGAGCCTCCAGCCGCCCTGAATTATGGATGAAAGGTGCTGTGCCCTCCTGAGTGCTCCCCTGACTGAGTGAATCACAGGCCTCTTGCCAGATCAAAGACTGCCAGGGAGAGACAACCCCTGCCCTGCCAGGCCTCTCCACCCCAGGCACTGGGCTCTCCTCCTCGCCCAGCCTCTGGCTCCGCCCAGCCTGCAGCTCCCCCTGACTCTGGGGAAGCCCACGTCTTCTGGCAAGATCCTGGGTCCCCCGGCTGGCCTGGGCTCACCCAGATCCAGGCTGCCTGGCCCTTCCCCCCAACTCTGGGACAGGAAGAGGGAGGTACACCCCGTCTGGAGAGCAGGTGGGCAGCCCAGGTGGTTGGTGCTGGAGGAGGCGGGGCTCGTGCATCCAGACCTGGAGCCACAGAGGAAGAGGTGGTATCAGGCTCTCACGGGGCAGTCGATGACACAGGGCAGTGCACGGAAGGATGGTGTCCCCAAAGCCCAGTGGGAACGCCAGCCAGACTCTGGGTGTCTGGGCGCTCCCAGGAAGAGGGGTACTCTGTGGTAACCTGAGCCCCACATGGTTCCAACATGACCCAACACGGAGTAGGCCGGTGGGTGCACCTAGGACCGTTGGTGGGAGGCGGTGGGAGGCGGCCTGGGTTGTGGGTGCCCGAGCGTGTCCCCAGTGTCAAGGTCCCAGTTCAGGCCTGGGGGCGGGGTGGGGGGGGCTCAGGGGTGTGGCTGGGCTGTCCTGGGTGGGGGCAGGTAACTGGCTGTAAAAAGGGAAGAGGAGAAAGGGAGGGTGGGCTGAGGGGGTGGGGGATCAGGACCCTGTGCCCACCGAGGCACGTCCCAGAGCACCCTGCCTGCCTTTTAGGTGGGTCTGGGAAGGAGAGGGCCCAGGGGCCGTGGAGGTCTGGGGCAGTGCTGCCTGGGAAGTGGCCTGGGGCCCATCCTGCTGTCCTGGGGTGAGCCCAGGACCAGCTTGGGAGCAGAGCAGCATCTCGGCAGAGGGCTGGGGGGGTCTCAGCAGAGGTCTGGGGGGGTGTCTCAGCAGAGGACTGTGGGGGGGTCTCAGCAGAGGGCTTTGGGGGGGTCTCAGCAGAGGGTTGGGGGGGTCTTAGCAGAGGGCTGGGGGGTCTCAGCAGAGGTCTGGGGGGGGTCTCAGCAGAGGTCTGGGGGGGTGTCTCAGCAGAGGGCTGGTGGGGTCTCAGCAGAGGGCTGCGGGGGGGGTCTCAGCAGAGGGCTGCGAGGGTCGTCTCAGCAGAGGGCTGGGGTGTCCTCAGCAGAGGGCTGCGGGGGGGAGGTCTCAGCAGAGGGCTGCGGGGGGGTCTCAGCAGAGGGCTGCGGGGGGGTGGTCTCAGCAGAGGGTTGCGGGGGGCCTCAGGGTGGGGGTGTGGGGGTTGGGCTTCCTGGGCTAGGCAGGAGCCTCAAGGGCACTCTGGCTCCCGGCTGACGGTGGTTAAAGTCAGAGAGAGGGTCTCTAGGTGCCCTGGGACAGGAGAGAGAGCGAGTGGGGCCACGGAGACCTGAGAAGCCCAAAGGGCCGGCATGGAGGGAAGACACAGCCTTGTGGGGCAGCGTGACACCAGTATGGAGCTGTCCTGGACAGCAACCCAGGCGGGCAGGGGCCCAGTCCAGCCCTGAAGAGGGTGGGGCCCCTGCTGACCAGGGCTCGGGAGGAGGCCCTCCAACCCACACAGCCCTGCTTCTCTCCCGCAGGCCTGGTGAAGCTGGGGGTTCACTGTGTCACCTGCCAGAAGGTGGCCATCAAGATTGTCAACCGTGAGAAGCTCAGCGAGTCTGTGCTGATGAAGGTGAGCGGGGCCATGGGGGGAAGGCGGGGCCGGCTGTGGTTAGGTCAGGGAGTAGCACAGGGGGCTAGGACTCAGCCTTGTGGGGACCTGCGGAGCCGAGTGCGGGGGTCCTGCAGGCTTCTGGTGGCAGGGCCTCGGTGTCCCCAGTTGGAACTGAGAGGTGGCCCGTGCCTCAGAGCAGCCTGTTCCCTGCTGGGCAGGGCCCATCTTGACAGAGGGGAGCCCCGTCTTCCTCCTCCTCTGGGGCTTGGCCTCCGTGTGGTGGTGCCTGGCCATTGTGGGGACCAGGCAGGCCGCCCTCGGGGAAGAACTCCTGGCCTCTGACCCTCCTCTCTGGGGAGGGCACTGCCCTGGCTGCAGGGAAGCCTGACGCTGGGCGTAGAGGCAGCAGCTGTGGCTTCCAGCTTCTCCAAGTCTCACGCATGGTGGGACCTGGGCATCCAGTGTGGGGCCCGCCCAGCACCGGGACCAGTGGAGCCTCCCGCCCCAGCTATTCCGGCATTGGCTCCTTCGAGGGCAGGGCTGGGGCTGGGGCTGGGGCTGGGGCTGGGGCTGGGGCTGAGGAGGGAGAGGGACCTGGGCTGGTGGAAGGAGCCCAGAGGGTGGAGCCTTGTGGGAGGTGCTGATGCTTGGGGACCCTTATTTACACTCGGAGTCCCCTCAGCTGCTGGGGGTGTGGAGGAATTAATCAGACTGCACTTCGGAGGCCAGGCCAGGGGACCCCTGGGTGAGGTGGCAGCAGCACTAAGGGCTGCCTGGATGGGGCTGGCAGGCCCTGACCCTGTCATGGAGGGGAAACTGAGGGCCTGGGAGTGACAGGCCAGGACCGCACCTGGTGGAGGGAACCCAGTGCAGGGCGGGGCTGGGGAGAGCTCCATGCTGAATTTAGGAGGTGCCTGTGAGCTCTGAGTGGAGGAAGGAGGGCCTGGAGATGCAGAACAGGAGAGGCGGCCCTGACACCTGCAGGTGCCACGCACAGATGCCTGCCTGGAAGGGAAGGGCTTGGGACAGGCTGGCCAACTCACCAGAGTGGGACCCCATCGCAAGACTGGCCCCAGCTCCAAAGCCCTGTCTACCCTGGCTCCCGAGTGCTGGGTGCCCCAGCTCTTGCCCTGGCTGGTCCCCACACTGCCATGGCCACTCCTCTGTGCTGGGCAGGGCCCCAGGTGGCCTTGACCAGGCTGGCACATCTGAGGGAGGAGCCCCTGCCCTCACCTCGGAGCAGGACTGGGTGTCCTGAGTCAGGTACCCTCAGGGGTCACTTCTGCTCCTCCCTGGGACATTGCCAGCTGGGAGCCTGTGGATGGGGGACACGTGCCCTGCCCACAGCTGGCACACCCACTCCACACCCCATGCACAGGATACCCACCCCCACCTCGTGCCAGTCCTGAGCCCACAGAGGCCTGTCCGGCCCCCCCGCTGCGAGGCCTCCACTGTGAGGAAGGATGGAGAGCGGGCACAGCCTGCCTGGAAGGGCCTCCACCCAACTCTGGCTGGGGGCCTAGGAGGCCTCCTCCCCGGCAGCCCCAGGCCCCATTCCTGAGCCTGGGCTCACACTGAGGGCAGCATTGAGGCCCAGGCTGCCTGCGTTGGCAGAGTGGGGAAGAGCCCTCCTGCTCCAGGGGCCCCCAGTCCCCAGGCTGGCATCAGCACGGGGCCTGGGTGTCCTCCACCATGGCCCCACGGCCCTCTGCCCTCTCCACCAGCCAGGCCCCAGCTGAGCAGCCCATGTCCCTGCGACCCCCACAGCTAGCAGCAAAGGCGGTGTCTGTGGGGAGTGATGGGCGCCACAGCCCTGCCAGCGTGACGGGCTCTGGTCTCTCCTGCGCAGGTGGAGCGAGAGATCGCGATCCTGAAGCTCATCGAGCACCCCCACGTCCTCAAGCTGCACGACGTTTATGAAAACAAAAAATATTTGTAGGTATTGCTGGGTCTGGAGAGCTGGGGTGGCAGGGGTGGGGCTGTTACTGCAGGGCGGGCCGGCTCAGGGAGACAGGCAGACTGGCGGGCGGCCGGAGCTTGCGGGGTGCAGGGACCGGAGGCCAGGGCGCCAACTGCGCCCCGTCAGCCCCGGCCCCGCCAGCACCCACACCTGACGGGGGAGGGTCTCGGTCAGCCCGATGGGCCTTGTCCTTCTTGACCGGACCAGACACCTGCTCTGTTGGGGGCTTGCTGGTGAGCCTGAGGCCAGCAGGGGGAACAGGGCCTTCTGGAGGGGGACCAGGGTTTCAGGTCAAGGGGCGGGAGCACCTGGCCCTCCCCACAAGGCCACACCGAGCCTCCTGGCCTCTGCCCGGGGCTCCTGCAACCCGCGGAGACACACCCCCATTCCCGAGGCTCCCCCACGAGACACAGCCTCCAGGTTCGCGCCCTGGCTGGACTCTGGCTGCCAAGTGTGGCTGACCCTGTCACCCCACAGCTGCCGAGGCCAGCAGAAATCCCCTCCCTGTGCCAGGCGTGCCTGTGCATGAACCCAGTCCCCCACACCCAGCCTCAGCCAGCTTCTGGAGTGGGTGCAGCAGTCACTCACAGGACAGGCTCCTGGTGGGCTCTGATGGGGCTTCCCAGCGGCCAGGGGCGGCTGCTGAGGGCTGTCTGGCCTTGAGCCCCATCCGACTCTCGCTGGTCCCAGGGCAGTGCCCTGACTACCAGGTGGTCCCGGCCAGGCATCTCTGGGGCATCAGGCACTGTGGGGGCAGGGGACATGTGGGGCTGGACTGAGGGGTGAGCTGTCCTTGGGTGAGGGCTGAGTTGGCTGAGGGGTGAGCTGAGGGGTGAGAGGGCTGAGGGTGGGTGGGCTGAGGGTGAGAGGGCTAAGGGTAGGTGGGCTGAGGGGTGACAGAGCTGAGGGGTGGGCGGGCTGAGGATGAGAGGGCTGAGGGTGGGCGGGCTGAGGGTGGGCGGGCTGAGGGTGAGAGGGCTGAGGGTGGGCAGGCTGAGGGCTGAGCTGAGGGGTGCACGGGTGGAAGGTCCAGCTGTCTGAGGGTCTGGGCAGAACCAGCTCCGACTCCTGCTCTCGCCCGGCCTGGGTCTCCACAGGAAGCACGTGCAAGTGGCCAGCTGCAGTGTGTCTCGGGGGAGAGAAAACCAAGGGGTGGGGTGCGGGGAGCTGCCTTCCCCCACCCCCGTGAGTGGGATCACAGAAACTGTCACCACAGGCCTGGGGGGCGGGGCTGCCCTGGACTCTGATGCCGGCGAGGGGACTGTGAGGAGGGCATGGCTGCGCCCAAGGGGCTTCTCCCGAGGTCTGACCGTGGGTGCTGTCCCACCCCCTCTGCACACCATGTGGCTTATGCTGAGCCTCCAGTCCAGCTGCCCTCCTGCCCACAGCCCACCCCGTGCCCCCACCACAAGCCCTGCTCCAATCCCTGCACTGGGCCCTGGATTCCTGCCCAGACCAGCTCCTGGGACAGCTGGTCACTGCAGTCCTCACCACTGCTCTGAGCGGGCGTCCAGGCCCTACTCTCTCGTCCTGGGCGGCCCCCGGCCCACTCCCTGGTCCCACATCACCATGGCCACACCTGGGGCCACTGCCTTCACAGGCCTCCCCCGAACTGGTTCAGCCTGGACGGAGCGGCCCCCAGGCAGCCTGATCCAGTGTCCCACTGATGCCCAACAGGAACAAGCCCCTCAGGACCCTCCATGCGGCTGAGACCCCATGGGAGGCCAGGAGCCCACCAGGGCAGGAAAGGGAGGGCCATGCCATCTCCTCACCCCTCCCCGAAGCCCTCACACCTCCTGTTCCCGCCCACAGCAGCCCAGGGGGTCCCTGGGCCCCTGGTTGTGACTGCGCAGTCTCCCACTGGGTGTCCGTGCCACTGAGGTGCAGGGGATGATGGGGTGTGAGGGCCTCGTCTCGCAGACCCGGAAATAGCAGAGCAGGCAGGGCAGAGCTCAAGGCCACCCCATGCTGCACCCTGCCCTGGCACCCACCACACTTAGCGTGTGGGTCCCAAACCCTCCCTGGCGGCTGTGCCCCAGACCCATCCCTTCACCCACCCTCCCTCCTCACCCCACCCCAGGGTCCCTGCAGACTCATTTGAGGCCCATCCCAAGGAACCCAGATGGTCTGAGGTCTGCCCTGCAGTCAGGTCCTCTGAGCTGCCTCCCCAGCCCGCAGGAGAATGGGGGCAGCCTGCAGGGAGGCTGGGTCAGGAGGTGGCTGTGGGAGGCCCTGGGACAAGGGGGCGTCGGCTGGCACCGCAGCTGGGCACACTGGGGGCTCGTCTGCTGCAGATACTTGGTGCTAGAACATGTGTCGGGTGGGGAGCTCTTCGACTACCTGGTGAAGAAGGGGAGGCTTACCCCCAAGGAGGCCCGGAAGTTCTTCCGGCAGATCATCTCAGCGCTGGACTTCTGCCACAGCCACTCCATATGGTGAGTCCCCGCCCTGCTGCCCTGCTCCCCAGAGACCAACACCAGCGTGCCACCCTAGATGCCCCATGGCCCGAAGGACTACACCCCACCATGTGCTATTCCAAGGTACCCCATCCATCCCAGGCGCCCCCCCCAGGAGCTACCCCTCAAATGCACCCCCCAGGAGCTATCCCTCACATACACCATCCCCACCAGGAGCTCCCCTTCATGTGCACCGTCCCCCCCACTGCTGCAGGAGCACCCCCTCATGTGCACCGTCCCCCCCACTGCTGCAGGAGTGCCCGCTCATGTGCACCGTCCCCCCATTGCTGTAGGAGCTCCCCCTCATGTGCACCGTCCCCCCCACTGCTGCAGGAGTGCCCCCTCATGTGCACCGTCCCCCCCCCACTGCAGGAGCACCCCCTCATGTGCACCGTCCCCCCATTGCTGTAGGAGCTCCCCCTCATGTGCACCGTCCCCCCCACTGCTGCAGGAGTGCCCCCTCATGTGCACCGTCCCCCCATTGCTGTAGGAGCTCCCCCTCATGTGCACCGTCCCCCCCACTGCAGGAGCTCCCCCTCATGTGCACCGTCCCCCCACTGCTGCAGGAGCGCCCCCTCATGTGCACTGTCCCCCCCCACTGCAGGAGCGCCCCCTCATGTGCACCGTCCCCCCACTGCTGCAGGAGCTCCCCCTCACAGGCAGAATGCCCCCCGGGACCTGCCCCTCAAGCACACCATACCCCCCCAGGAGATACCCCTGACGTGCACCACAGCACACTGGGTGCTCCCCTTCAGCCCCAGGAGCAGCAACGCCCAGCACCTCCCCTTCCCCTGGAGTGGGCAGTGTGTCGGGAAGGTTTCTGCTTGGTGCCCACCCAAGGGCTGTGGGGGCCCTTCATGCATCCCTTCGTGCCTGGGGGCCATAAGTTGCCCTAGGCCAGAGAAAATGTGCTAGGGAGCAGGAGGGGCAGGAAGGAGCCTTCCCCGGGGACAGGAGGGCATGGCACAGGGATGCCTGACCACAGGCAAGAGCCAAATGGACCAGGTGGGCGACTTCTGATTGGCTGCCTGTGATGTCGCCAGGCTGGGCTGCCACTGGCCCCTCGGTGTGATTGGCATTTGGAGAGGCAGTGCGCCCTGGGCGGGGGTCTCCAGGGCCGGGAGGCGCTCCAGGCGCAGGCTGGCCCTGTTCAGCCTCACTACCCTCCTCCCCAGCCACAGGGATCTGAAACCCGAAAACCTCCTGCTGGACGAGAAGAACAACATCCGGATCGCAGACTTCGGCATGGCGTCCCTGCAGGTTGGCGACAGCCTGTTGGAGACCAGCTGCGGGTGTGTGGCTCTCCTGCCTGCTGGCCCTGCATGGGCTGGGTGGGGGAAGAGGAGGAGCCGACAGGCTGAGAGGTCCCCAGCCTGCCTGAGCCTCCTGGCACCTCATGGGCTTCGGTCTCCGAGTACCCCAACAATGTGCTTGAGTTTCCTGGTCCCGCCCCCAGCCTGGTGGTGGTGGGGAGGTGGGACCCCTGGAAGGTCTGTACAGTGAGGATGGGGGTGCGTCCTGCCCACCTGGGAGTGAGGCTGGGACCCGCCTACAGGCCCCTCTCCTGGAGACCCCTGACCCTTGCTCAGCCAAGTGGGCAGACAGCCTTGGGCAAAGAAGAGAGCCAGCGCCCCGACCTTGGTCTCTTCCCAGAAGCCCTCCTGGGAATTCAGGGAATGTGGGGGCGTCTGGCGCCAAAGCCCAGTGAGCCTACCTGAGGGCCCCGAGATGCACCATTGCCCTGGGGGGAGGGACTGGCAGCACCTAGAGCCCACCGCTGACCTCTGCCCTCGCCTGCAGGTCCCCCCACTACGCCTGCCCCGAGGTGATCCGGGTGAGTCACCACTGCTGTGTGCATCCCCGCGGGTCCCAGGGTGGCAGGGACCTGACCCCGGTGGGACCCCAGCCTGCCACACCTGACCCTCCTGGGGCCCGACTTCCTCCCGGGCCCTCTGTCCAGCCCTGCCAGGGCCCCCTGCCCCACCCCGCACCTCCCAACCGCCGGGCACTGCTGTCCGCAGGGGGAGAAGTACGACGGCCGGAAGGCGGACGTGTGGAGCTGCGGCGTCATCCTCTTTGCCTTGCTGGTGGTGAGACCTCGGCCCCCGCCCCAGTCCCCCGCCTCTCCCTTCCCCCTCGCCCCCCACCCCCTGGGCCTGGATGACCCCGTCCGCCACCCGCAGGGGGCCCTGCCCTTTGACGATGACAACCTGCGGCAGCTGCTGGAGAAGGTGAAGCGGGGTGTGTTCCACATGCCGCACTTCATCCCGCCCGACTGCCAGAGCCTGCTGCGGGGCATGATCGAGGTGGATGCCGCCCGCCGCCTCACGGTGCGTGCCTGCCTGGTGGGGGGCGGCCCCGGGCATCGCAGGGGTGGGCGTGTGCCCAGATATGTGGGCACCAGGGTGTGTGGACGGGTCCAGGTGTGTGGATGTGTGCACAGGTGTGTGTGGGTGCCCAGCTGTGTGCGTTCAGGTGTGTGGGGAGGTGCCCAGGTGTGTTCAAGTGTGTGGGGGTGCCCAGGTATGTGGTCAGGTGCTCGGTTGTGTGGGTGCCCCCGTTTGGGCTTGTGTTCAGGTGTGGGAGTACACAAATGTAGGCATATGCCCAGGTGTGGGGTTGCCCAGGTATGGAGTGTGCCAGGTTCATGTGTTTGGGTGGGGGCATAGGTGTGGGCATGTGCACATGTGGGGAGGTGTGTCTGGGTGCTTGTGAGCACTTCGTCAGGTGTGGGTGGGCATAGGCACGGGACGGTGGGTGGGGGTGCAGGTGTGGGGGCTATGTGCACAGACAGGTGAGGCCTGGGCTGTAAGTTACACAGAAGCACGGGCGCTTCCCCATCACGGCCATCTTCCTCCACACGCTGCTGGGAAAAGCCCCAGGCTGTGTGAACACTTTCCCCCTAAGGGACCCTGGCAGCTGTGGGGCTGGCAAAAGCCAAAGGTAGCCCCCAGCTGCTGGTCCCAGCCTCCTCCAGGACGGTCTAGTGTGGGGACCCCACAAGTACATTTGACAGGCGCAGGTCACCCTCTGGGCTGGCCTTTCCAGGGTAGTGTTGCTCTGTTCCCAAGAGGTCACCGCCCCACACCCCCGAGCTGTCTCTGAGTCAGGGTGGAGAGAAGGGGCCGCGTGGCTGGCCCCCCCCCCTCCGTCCCAGCCTCCTGCTCGCACCTGCACCAGCCCCGCCCCCGCCACTCAGGTGGGCCGGGTTCTCCTGGCTTCAGCTCCCTGCTCTCCTGCCTTGGTTCCTTTTTAGAGCCATGGAGGGGCCTGGCCCAGGCAGCACAGGCACCTGGGGCTGCCCTGGCTCCAGTTTCCCTGCCTCCCCTCTCCCTCTGCTCCCTGGGCCCCGCCCCTACCTGGAGTTCCCCCACCCCCGACCACCAACTTACCTCCTCCTCCTCCAGGTTTGCATTTTCTTCTCCGCTTGGGAGAGGCAGGGGCAGGGGTGCTGGCCTGGAGCCTCTGGGAATGCAGCCCCCTCCCCACCCTCCTCCCCCACCCTCCCTCTGCTCACCTGCCCTCACCCTCTCCTGCTCTCTCTGCATCCCAGCGCCCCCGCCTTCCCCTCCCCTCCTAATGTGGGCTCTCTCCAACCCTTGTCCATACTAACTCCCTGTTTCTCTTTCCTTGTAGCTAGAGCACATTCAGAAACACATATGGTATATGTAAGTAGCTTTTCCACCCACTAATCGCCTGCTTTGCCTGTCGCTATGGCCTGGAGGCCCTGCTAGGAGAGGCGGGGGGAGGTTGCCAGCCCTGCCCCGCCTTGGCCCTCGGCCCTCGCTGGCCTGCGCTGGGTGCGGGGTGCGGGCAGGACGCAGGAGGCCTCCCCGGGCTGGGCACAGGGAGAGTGGCAGGATACAGGGCCCCAGGTGAGGGCGGGCCTCCCAGCCCCCCAGGCCCGGCCAGTGCTGACAGCCGGGCGGCCTGCCCTGTGTCCACAGAGGGGGCAAGAACGAGCCGGAGCCGGAGCAGCCCATTCCCCGTAAGGTCCAGATCCGCTCGCTGCCCAGCCTGGAGGACATCGACCCCGACGTGCTGGACAGCATGCATTCCCTGGGCTGCTTCCGAGACCGCAACAAGCTGCTGCAGGACCTGCTGTCGGAGGAGTACGTCCTGGGGGCTCCCTGGGGCAGCGGCGGCATGGGGGGAGCCTGGGGGTGGGAGCCCTGTCATGGAGGAGCCGGTGGCCCCGTGTGCCAGTGCACCCCGCACCTGTTGCCCACTGTAGGGAGAACCAGGAGAAGATGATTTACTTCCTCCTCCTGGACCGGAAAGAACGGTACCCGAGCCAGGAGGATGAGGACCTGCCCCCCAGGAATGAGATAGGTATGGTCTGGGGGTGGCCTCCGCCTGGCCGGCACTGCCCCCCCCACCCGGCTCCAGGGGCTGCATGGCCTGACGCGCATCTGTGTACAGACCCTCCCCGGAAGCGTGTGGACTCCCCGATGCTGAACCGGCATGGCAAGCGGCGGCCGGAGCGCAAGTCCATGGAGGTGCTCAGTGTGACGGACGGCGGTTCCCCGGTACCTGCGCGGCGTGCCATTGAGATGGCCCAGCACGGCCAGAGGTGTGTGTGCCCCGAGGCTGCTGGCCTCCCTCCCTGGGCCCTGGCTGCGTGGCACCGCTGCCTGGCTCATCCCTGCCCATGGCCCTGGGGTCTTGGCTGAGACCATTGCGTGGGGCTGCATGGGCTGAGCTGGGCTTAGCTGAACTGGGCTGGGCTGGACTGGGCTGGCCTGGGCTGAGCTGGGCTGGGCTGGGCTAGGCTGGGCTGGGTTGGGCTGGAGCTGAGCTGAGCTGGGCTGGCCTGGGCTGGCCTGGGCTGAGCTGGGCTTAGCTGAGCTGGACTGGGCTGGACTGGGCTGGACTGGGCTGACCTGGGCTGGGCTGGGCTGGGCAGGGTTGGGCTGAGCTGGGCTGGGCTGGACTGGGCTGGTCTGGGCTGGGCTGAGCTGAGCTAAGCTGGGCTTAGCGGAGCTGGACTGAGTTGGACTGGGCTGGTCTGGACTAGGCTGGTCTGGACTAGGTTGGACTGAGCTGGGCTGGGCTGGGCTGGACTGGGCTGGGCTGGGCTGGGCTGGACTGGACTGGGCTGGGCTGGGCTGGACTGGGCTGGACTGGGCTGGACTGGGCTGGGCTGGGCTGTGCTGAGCTGGGCTTAGCTGAGCTGGACTGGGCTGGACTGGACTGGGCTGGGCTGGCCTACACTGGGCTGGACTGGGTTGCACTGGGCTAGACTGGGCGGGGCTGGTCTAGTCTAGACTAGACTAGGCTGAGCTAGGTTGGACTGGGCTAGAATGGACTCAGCTGGGCCAAGCTGGGCTGTATTGAACTAGACGACCGAGCAGGGCTGAGCTGAACTGGGCTGGGTAGGGCAGGGCTGAGCTGGGCTGAACTGGATTTGGCTGAGCTGAGCTGAGCCAGGCTGGGCAGGGCTGAGCTGGCAGGGCTGGGCTGGGCTGGGCTGGGCTGATCTAAGCTTGGCCAGGCTGAGCTGTGATGTGGTCACGTCGTGCTTCAAAGCCATCAGCCCAGCTAGCCCATCCCCTTGGCCCCAGCACTGCTGGGCCTGTCTCTGGGTGGCAAGTGTGGTGTGTGTGGCAAGGAACATCACAGAACTGGGCAGTGAGGAGCAGGTGTGGGCTGCCCTGACGAGACCTGTGGCCAGAGGAAGGGCACCCAGGCCCAGTGGTGCCTCTGCTGGGTGGGGGCAGGGCCAGGCTGCCTACACAAGGCTCTCAGCAAATCCTTGGAGCTGGTGCGGCCTCTCAGGGATGAACCCAAGCATCCCTCGCCAGGTGGGGGCTTCCAGCATATGGGGAGCACAGCAGGAGGTCCAGGAGCCCGGGCAGTCTCCGGTCCACCCTGTGGTCTGGACCTCCACACCCCAGGGCCCCCTCCTCGTACTGAGGATTTGGGTGCCGAGACAAGCTAGACCTGCTCCTTGGGAATTGGGGGAAACTGAGGAACGGTAAGGTAGCTTGGCAGCCATCAGGCTAAACTTGTTCCAGCCCCAGCCCTGGCCATTGTACTGGTGGTCCCAGTTCCGCCGGCTCCCAGGCCACGGCCCTCTGGGAGTCCCAGGCTCTCCCCAGGGTTCCAGGCTGGCCCAGCCTCCAGCCTCGGGTCCCAGCCCCCTGGAACCTCCTTCCCAGGGTGCAGTCAGTCACGGCCTTGGCCCCAGAACAGGGGTCAGCCGGGAGCCTCCAGTCTCCACTCCACGGCTCTGACCTTCAGTGGCTGCATGTCACGGGTGCACCTCAACCCCCAGCCCTGCGCCTGCCTCCTGCCTGCATGGCGCCTCCACCGGGCTCCCCTGACCCCACAGGGCAGGCCCCAACACCCCACTGCCTGGCCTCCGGTCAGTGGTATGGGAGGCTGCCCTCTTGGTCTCTGCTGCAGCTCCCAGGCCTGGCTGCCTGGGGTAGGCGCGGACCACGGTGGGGCCTCCGGAAGCCACTAGTCCTGGCATGTCCCAGCCAGACTCTGCTCCTGGCATGGCCATCTGGCAGAGATCTAGCCACCTGGTGCTGGGCCACAGGGGGCTGCTGACTAGGGATGCAGGGGTCCTGGGGGCTGGGGTGGGGCCGCCCAGGCCACCCTGCCGAGCAGTCACACGGTGCGGGGCATGCTGTCCGGCCCGGCCTCCTCTCTCACCGTCTCTGTGTACCAGCCTGGGCTCAGGGGGCTATGCCCGGGCGTCAGAGCTGCATGGAGTTCTCGCCTGGTATAGCCCGGGCCCTGGCTGACTGCGCCCACGTGTGGCCGCCAGTAACTGTGTTTTCTCACTTTGTTCCTGCTGTAGTAAAGCAATGTTCAGTAAAAGCCTGGATATCGCTGAGGCCCATCCCCAATTCAGCAAAGAAGACAGGTATACACCCTGACCACCCGTCCCTGCACCTCCCAGCCCCAGACTCGCTGTCCTGCCTCAGTCCGGGCAGGCAAATGGGCCGGTCTGGTGGCGGGCTGGGCTGCAGGGCCCCTGCGGCAGTGGAGTCGGCCAGCAAGCCAGGGAAGGGCCCTCAGGCTGCACAGTGGCCGAGGAGGAGGGGTGGGACTGCTGAGGCCGGGCCGGCGCCCATGCACCGTGGCTCCCAGAGCCTGGTCTAGAGTCCTGCGTGGCTGAAGGCTGTGCCACGCTTCTGCCAGCCTCTGCTACTTCCAGCACACCGCTGTGGCCTCGCTGCCCCTGGGGCTGGCCAGAGGTGAAGCGGAGCAGTGGTCCTGTGCCGACCCGCAGGAGCTGAGGAGGGTGGGAGGCGCCACCGAGAGGCCTCTGCCTGGGGCCAGTCTCCTGAGCCTGGGCAGGTGGCGCTGAATCCCAGGGCTGGTGCCCGCTGGGCTGGCTGCCGGTCCGGCTCTTCACTTGAGTATCAGCCCCGCACCTGCCTGTGACCCCTGCCCGTGTGCCCCCACCCTGGCTGCCCTGGCTGCCCTTGGGGCTGGCGCCCTCTCTCCTGACCCTGCCCCAGCAATGGTAGCTCAGTGTTCCCAGTGGCTGCCTGGCCGGACAGCACGGGGCTCAGCCCCTCCACCTGGGGCCTCTGGTGCCTCTTTTGCCTTCCTCGTGGGCTCTGGGCAGGCTCGGCAGGAGCCACGGGTCCAGGGTCTCGCAAGTGGCTGCTGCCCCCATGAGGGCCATCCACAGCTCCCAACCCAGCCCCTAATGGCTCTGGGTCCAGCCCCAGCCAGCCCTGGGTGCCACCTGGCCCAGGCAGGCCGGGTTGGGCATGGGGTCCCTGCTGCCTCCCTGCCCCTTGGCTGCGTTGGGTGGGGAAGCTGGAGGGCCGTAGCCGCTGGGCCCAGCCCCCAGGTGTCCGGGAGACAGGTGTGTGGCTGGTGTGGGCTCAGGGCGCTGGCCCCTGCAGCGCTCCGCACAGTCCAGAGCCTGGGCCATGTTGTGGGCCAGGAAGGCCCCTGGTGGCCAGCTGACGGTGGGCATGCCTGGTGGGCAGCACAGGGTGGTCTTTTACTCTTCTGTCCTTTTCTCTTTGGTGGCTGTCTCGGTCTCTCCCTGCATTTCCCTCCTCCAAGGATGGCGAGTGCCCGAGTGCCCGGCGTGTGGGCACCGGCTTAGTCTGTTTGGTGACAAACAGCTGCCCTGGTCCCTGCACGAGGCCAGGGGGCGGGCTGGGTGGCTGCACGTCGGTGTCTTCAGCCCAGCACATCGGGCCAGGGCCTCCCTCCTGCGGAGTGGGCAGTGGTAGGACAGGGCCTCACCGGCCCCACCGACAGCCACCCCAGCCTGGCTCTGCCCAGGCCCTCCAGGCTCTGGGCAAGGAGAGGGCTGGCTGCTGACCCAGGCACCTCATGGGCAGCTGGGGCATGGGAGGCTGGAGCCAGCATGAGGCCTGGAGTAGAAGGGGCCAGATACAGCTCCCAGGAAGCCCCCATCTGTCCCCTTGTCCCTCTGTCCACCCGGATTGTCCTTTGCCATGGCCGCAGGGTGCCACACGCTGTGCTGTGCCTGGGTGGCTGGTATGAGGTAGCCCCCACATGTGGGCTCTGATGGGGGCCCCAGTGGGGCTGGGCACAGCCAGGCACCCTGGGTCCTCCTGGAACTGGCAGGGCATGCAGCAGGCCCTCAGGGCTCTCGACCTGGGCTCCAGGCCTCCTGGAGGGTTTTCCTGGGGGGAGCAGAGCCCAGCGCCTGCTGCTCTGCGGCACCTGGCTGAGCCACGGCCCTGTACCTTGTGACCCCCAGGTCTCGGTCCATCAGCGGTGCCTCCTCAGGCCTTTCCACCAGCCCACTCAGCAGCCCCCGGGTGAGTGACCCCCCCCCAGCTCAGATGCAGAGGTCCCGACCCTCCCAGTCAGCGTGTGCCGGGGTGGGGGCAGGCCTCCGCGGACCCTGGGAAGCAGCCCCAGGCACGCAGGCAGGCGGTGCGGCCCCCACGCCCGAGCTCCGATGGCGGCTGCTGCTTTGCGCGAGGGCTGCTCTAACTGCACGTTCTTTTGTTTTGTTTTGTTTTGTTTTGTTTGTTTTCTCGTGTGTCACTTGTTTTCTTTCGTGGTGACCCCCTCCCGCTCGTGCCTGCCTGCCTCCCCACCTCCCACCTCTCCGCCCTCCCGCTTCTTTCTGGTCCTCCTGGGTGACGTGCATGCTGGGGACGGCACTGTGCATGCTTGTGGCTGCCCCCACCCTGCCCGCCACGGCTGCCCCACCCTGCCAACTCCCTGCACCTCCCTGTAGCCTATTAGGAAGCTTGTCCTGCCCCCTCCGCCCCCCGAGCTGCCCTTCGTGGCCCGCCCCCTGGCCACCTCCGAGGAGCCCGAAGCTTGTGGGAGCACCTCGAGGCCTGGACACGTCCTCCCTCCGCAGGCTGCCCTGCGGCCCGACCCCAAGACCCAGACCTTGCCGTGCAAGGCCAAGCTGACCGACAAGCCTCTGCAGGGCACCAAGTCCAACCCCTTCCCGGCCAGCATCCCAGCCCGGCCTCCCGCCACCAGCCTCAGTCCCCAGCTGGCATCACCCCTGGGCCCGCCTGCCCTGCGGGTGCCTCCCCGGCCCCCGCCCACCGGGACTGAACCAAACACCAAATCTGTCCCCACCATACAGGTGACCCCTCACCCCTCACCGAGGGGCAGTCCCCTCCCCACCCCCAAGGGGACACCTGTCCACACGCCAAAGGAGAGCCCGGCTGGCACGCCAAACCCTACGCCACCGTCCAGCCCCAGCGTCGGAGGGGTGCCATGGAGGGCGAGGCTCAATTCCATCAAGAATAGCTTCTTGGGCTCACCTCGCTTCCACCGCCGGAAACTGCAAGGTGAGTGTCTGCCCGGAGATGCCAGAGCAAGGTTGGGAGAGCGCAGACACTGCTCTGGGAGGGCCTGCCCAGCGGTGCCACGCCAGTCTGGAGGGCCTGCAGCTGCATGGGAGGTCTAGGCCTGCCCACTGCCCATCGCTGTTGCAAAACTGCCGGGAAGCAGCTCATGTCCTGCCTGCCACCCAAGCTGGCATCCCCTCCGGACATTCTGTGTTCCCAAGTCCACTCACTCCATGTCCTGGGCCAGGCACACAGCAAGGCAAGCTGGCTACCGAGTGAGTGGGCACTGCCAGTCAGGAGGCTCCGTGTGGGGGGCACCGAAGGCCAGTTAGTGCTGCTGGAGACAGCACAGCTGATTCAGCACCAGAGGCTGGGACAGCTCCCCCGCAGCCTTGGGGCACCCGGACCAGTGGGGCTTAGGTGGTCGGGAGCTGGGGTGGACCTGTGGCCCTGGGGGGTGTCCCAGTGTATGGTGGCCTCCTGATGACCCTGACCTCGACTCAAGATGGCCAGGGCAGGGGAAGGATGAGGCAGTCACCCAGCCTTCCCTTCTGTTCATCCCGTGTACACAGTTCCGACGCCGGAGGAGATGTCCAACCTGACCCCAGAGTCATCCCCAGAGTAAGTGGCCCCTGCTTGGAGGTCGCTTGGCACATGGCACTGGGCTGAGGGAGGGGCATGGAACCCTTCCCCTGTGGCCGACGGGGACTCCCTGTCCACCTGGCTCCACCTCCCACTGTAGGCAGGACCTGTCTCAGCCACTGAGTCTGAACTTTGAATGCCCGGCTCTAAGGGGAGGGCCGGGCCATCCAGGGAAGGAGCCCCCAGCCCTGATGAGAAGCTTTAGCCCTTGGGGGAGCCTGGGGTTGGCTGGAGGCGAGTCAGGGGTACACTGAGCAGAGTCTTCCCCAGGGTCTGAGCTCGCCAAGGAAGAGACTCGGGGTGGGTCGGGTCTCAAGGAGAAAGCAGCCTGTGCTAAGAAAGAGGCAGGCCAGGGCAGGGGGCCAGGGGGCAGGGGGCAGGCCTGGTGGGAACACGCGTGCAGGGGCCAAGCAGGGCAGGAAGGCTCATGCCCCACCCTGCCGCCTTTCTGAGCCATGAGAGGTGCCACTGCACAGACTGTGCAGCGCCCGGGTGCTGAGATGCCCTGGCAGTCGCTGTGACCAGCGTCTGGGCAAAGATGTCCCCAGAGACCCCTTCCTAGCCCCCAGGCCCTCTCCCTGCCCTCCACAACAGCCTTAGTCACTGGGCAGTGTCTCGGTGACTAGGTAACTGGTGGCGTACACAAGTGAGCCTGCAGTGTGACCCCACACAAGGCAGCTGCAGAGCGTGGCGGCCAGGCTAGAGCTGCTGGGACCTCCCGCAGGCGGCCCCAGGAGATGGAGGTGTGGCCAGCCGTGGACTCAGTCAGAGAACCCTCATCCTGCCACTGGCTTTAAACCAGGAGTCCCTGTGCAAACTGCTCAGTGGAAGCCCTGGAGCGCTGTCAGTATCTGGGCCTTTCCGGGCGAGCAGGTGGCCCTTCAGCTGGGCGCCCGGGTCAGAGGCATGCAGGCAGCGTCGCAAGCCCAGAGGTACAGAGCTCGGCAGACTTCAGAATGCTCTGCCCAGGCCGTGGCGTCGTTTCTGCCGCTACCAAAAGCTTCCAGTAACAGACTCGTAATTACCTTCCTCAGAAAAGATGGAAATGCACCCCAGTAGCTCGACGACACAGCAGTTGCCGGGGCTGCTCCCCTCCCCCATCGAGACCACCCAGAGGGCCTGACCCCTCCCTGGGGTCCAGCACAGACGCCTCCCACAGCCCCACCTGAGGGCCGGGCACAGCCACCTCCCGCAGTCCCCTCTCAAAGGTCCCAGCACAGCTGCCTGCCACAGCCCCTCCTTGCTCGGGACCTGAGACAACACTCGGCCCCAGCTGCCTCCAGCCCCAGAGGAATAGAACAAGGCTCTGTGTGCGCATGGGAGGTGACCGTCTTCAGGAAGGGGTGGCTGTCTGGGACAGACAGGGCTGCAGGCAGGACACCCAGGGCTGATGTCCTTGAGTCTGAAGCCCCAGGTGGAAGCCCAGGCAGTTTCCAGATTGCAGCCTTGAGGGGGCATCTTTCTCCTGGTGGATGCGGCCCACCCCGTGAGGAAGGGTCCCCCGCCAGTGTCACAGGTGACTGATTGAAGTTCATCTCATCTAAAAATGGCTTTGCAGCAACACACAGACTCACGTCCTGCCAGGCTGTGCACTGTCTGCCATGTGGGCATGGAAGTCACGGTGCAGGCCCCACCCACCTCATCAGCCAGCCTCCCTGGGCCCTCTAGCATCTTTCACACGTGGGACTATTTTTGACAAATGCCACACCCCCAGGCCTCAAAGCAGAGTCAAGTGTGTACGATCTGTCCCGTCTCTTCCATGGCAGAACATGGAACGTGCAGAACCCCCCATCTGTGTTTCTAGAACTGCCTGGCTGCCCCGTGCACTTTTGGCTCCAGGCCCTGGCGCAGGGCTGGGGTAAGCCAGAGCTGGCCCTTAGAGTTTCAAACCCAGAGCAGCCAGCCGCCGAGGCCGGCAGAACACTGAGGTGGCATTGAGAGGCTCAGCGACGGCCGAGCCGGCCCCCATGCCCGTCTGGCAAGACTCCCAGGCCTCACAGGGACGGCTGCAGTGGCCGAGGAGGAGGCAGCTCCAGAAACTGGCAAGGGGAAGGGAAGCTGTGTAGCCAGGACGCCGGGAGAGGGCACCCTGAGCCCAGCCCTGCTGGTGCCTCCTCCCGGTCCCTGCCTCAGCCTCTCCCTGCAGCCCTGGTCCCACGTCCAGGCAGTGGTGGCAGGGGAAGCTGCCAGGGAGAGCCCTCCCAGACGATGGCCACCCAGCACGCTCTGCCAGAGTTGAGGGGGTGGGGGGCGGGGGCGGAGCAGAGGGCCTGCCAGCAAGATGGGAGCAACCTTCTGTGGCCTCAGCAGCAGCCCCCGCTCCTGTTGGGAGCCAGTTGCAGGCCCCGCCTGCTTCTGGGGGCGGGAGGCACAGGTGACTTGAGGAGCCCTGCTCAAGCCACCTCCCACGGGGGCCTTGTGAGGAGGGCTTGTCTGTGGAGGGACAACCCCAGCCTTAGGAGCGAGCGGGTGGCAGGCTGGCAAGGTGGGCCGGGGTACGAAGCAGTGCGAGGTGGGCCTGGCAGGTGGGTGGTGCCAGCAGTTCTCACTGGGCCCTGCGTCCAGCAGAGGAAGTGATGTGGGTCAGGCCCACCAGTCATGAGGTTGGTAGCACTGCCCCAGCCTGGGGTGGGGACCGCCCACTGTGGTGGCACTGGGGAACCGGGGTCTGCATGGCTGTGGAGAGCCCGGAACTGCCCTTCCCCAGCCAGCCCTGGAGGTCTGGAAGTGACCTCTACTCTATAGGGTAGGGACCGGCCCTGCCAGGCTGGAGCCACAGGGAAGCCACGTGGCCACATGCCCTAAACACAGGAGGGCGGCCCCAGGGGTGCTGAAGCTGCTCTGCCCGGTGGGAGGGGGCACAGCCCCCGGCGTCTGTGCTGTACCTGTCCTGCCACTGCCTGTGTACAGCTCCCTGGTTTCCCCAGCTCCAGGCTGGGCACCTCGGCCAGGATGCCACTGGGCACCTGACAAGGGCTTAGCCAGAAACATAAAAGCAAGGCTGGGGGCAGGGGGCACCCTACTCCCCTCTGCTTTTCTTCCCAGTGGGGTCTCTAGTGAGTGTGCTGCCCAGGCACAGCTCTAGGGCCCTGGAACCAGTTAGGGCCCTGGAACCTGGTTAGGGTCATGGGTTACGGCCACGGTGAAGGTCAGAGCATTCGGGCTAGTGTTAGGGCCAGGGTTAGGGTGTTGGGGCCAGGATAAAGGTCAGGGTCAGGGCACAGGTTCTGCCTAGCGCTGTGGAGAGCTGTTTCTATCGCGTGGGAATTGAGGAATTCCGCCGTTCCAACCCCAGGTTTGAGGGAGGCAGTGGCGTGGACGGCACCATGCCTCCATGCTCACAGCGTGTCTCCCACTGCCCAGGCTGGCCAAGAAGTCCTGGTTTGGGAACTTCATCAGCCTGGAGAAGGAGGAGCAGGTCTTCGTGGTCATCAAAGACAAGCCTCTGAGCTCCATCAAGGCTGACATCGTGCACGCCTTCCTGTCGGTGAGGCCGCAAGCACCGGGGCGGGCGGGCGCCCTCCCAACCCCACGCCACCCAGCTCCCTGCCAAGAACGGGCAGCCCTCCCAATCCCACGCCACCCAGCTCCCCAGAGAATCCAGAAGCCTGTCTGTCCTGACCCAGGCAGTGTCCTGACCTAGGACACGTCCACACACAGAACGGACATCATTCACCTGTGGGCCTGCCCGGCTGCCTTCACCAGACAGGTGTTCTCCCCCACCCGCCCTCTCGAGGGAGGGGTCCCTGCCCATCTGGGGCACTTGGCCTGCGGAGGGAGGCAGGGCCTCGCTCACTCGTCCTGGGCAGCCCTAGGTGTGTGCCAGGCAGGCCTGGGCAGCTGGCACGTGGGACAGGAGGCAGGCTCTAGCGGGGCAGGCCTCAGAGAGTGACGCCTCCATGAGACTCGGGGAGAAGCCATTGCGAGGCCGTGACCCCAGGGACCCCATGGGGCTCTGCGGGCCCTCAGTGGACACTCCCAGGCCTCGGGTATCTGTTTCCCTGGCCTCACCCTGCCTTTGGAGGCTGGATGGCTCTCCACCAGGGTGGCCACACTCGGGCCTGGGTGGGCTTCGTTTGCCTTTGCTGAGCATCAGGTTAGAGGAACAGAAGGGCCTGTAAAGTCTCAAATAGAGAAGTGTTACTGCCAGGACTTGAGCGCCCGGTCCCACCAGGAGGCCCCTTCCCTGCCAGCGCTGTCCACTCTGTGCTGTGCCCAGGCATCACAGGGGCCACCCTCAGCCTGACCCCCTGGGGCTGCTGTCCTGCCCCGTTTTCACGGCTGCCAGGTGCCCTCTCTGGCCCCAGGATCTCAGCAAGATGAGGCTGCGACTCACTGTGGCGGCCTCTAACAGGGAGGGGGCCGGCCTTCACCTCACCAGACGCTCTGGGCACGCAGGCCACCATTGCTCTGGCTGCAGCTGAGCTTCCCTTAGCGCCGTAGGGATAGCTTGGAGCCCCTACGGAAGGCTCTGGCAGCTGGGAAAGCCTAGTGCCAGGCAGGGCAGGGCCAGGCCCTTGGACTCTGGCTTCAGGGGCCCTCAGCATCCCCATCCCCATGTCTGTGTCCCCACAAGGGCCTCCTCCCCGCACCATGTCCCTTCGTGCCGCCCCTAGTTGCCACGGCCAACCTCAGACTCAGTGGTGGCCCTGGCGCTTCCCTTTGCCGGCCCCAGTGAGGCGGTCGTGTCCAGCCCGGACCCCGTGCACTGGGTGGCCCCGAGTCCTGCGTCCTGTAGCTGTCCCCTGGTAACTGTGGAGCCCACACGGCCGGTGTCAAGCACCCTGGGTCCTCCTGGGTCCCACAAGCAGCAGGCAACTGGCTGAAGTAGGCACGTAGGCACCAAGTGCCAGGAAGCCCCGGCAGGAGGGCACAGTCCCAGCCCCAATGCCACGCCCCCCTCCTCAGTGGCAGCTCCCAGACTCCCCACCTTCCCATCGGCTCCTACCCTGGACCCCAACCTCGGGCTGTAGGGGTCGCCTCCGCCTCTAAGGCTCCTCTGTGAGGTCCTGGCTGTCCTGTGCTGTGGCTGCCTGAGAAAAGCCCAAGAGGGGCTCAGCCACCCCTGCTGACAGGACCAAAGCTTTGGAGGGTGGGGGCTGGAATGCCCCCTCCCTGCTCAGATGGAGTCCACCTGCCCCGTGCCCCTCACAGATAGGGAAGCAGAGGTGCCTGGGTGCTCAGTTTGTGCACAGTACGGCTGGCTCTCCCCAGAGCAGCTCCCCAGGGGGTCGGTGGGGACCCGCCAGGCCAGCCACGCTCATGCTGCTCGCCTCCACAGATCCCCAGCCTCAGCCACAGCGTCATCTCCCAGACGAGCTTCCGGGCCGAGTACAAGGCCACAGGGGGGCCGGCCGTGTTCCAGAAGCCGGTCAAGTTCCAGGTGGATATCACCTACACGGAGGGCGGGGAGGCGCAGAAGGAGAACGGCATCTACTCCGTCACCTTCACCCTGCTTTCAGGTGAGCCGGCGGCCCTGGGGCGGCCACGGGCCCGGACCTGTGCAGGCATAACCCCCCGTCTCCCCCAGGCCCCAGCCGCCGCTTCAAGAGGGTGGTGGAGACCATCCAGACCCAGCTGCTGAGCACACATGACCCACCCTCGGCCCAGCACTTGTCAGGTGAGGCGGGCTCAGCTCCGGCCCCCTGAGGCCTGCGACTGGGGCGCGGCCAGCTGGTACTGCGCGGACGGGAGGCCTGAGGGCCCGGGCGCGGCCTCCTGGCCCCTTGGACGGCTGCCCCCACTTCCCTGCCCCAAGCTGTGGCTGCACCCCTCAGGGAGCAGGGCCCCTCCCCAGCCCGGCGGGACCACCGCCCTGCCTCTGCACGCCAGGGACCTAGGGCCCAGCCGCACCACACTGAAAGGTGCCTCTTGTCCACCGTAGAACCCCCCCCGCCAGCGCCAGGACTAAGCTGGGGTGCTGGGCTTAAGGGCCAGAAGGTGGCCACCAGCTACGAGAGTAGCCTCTGACGCTGGCAGGTAAGGCGCCGGCCTGTGCTGGGGCGGGAGGGGCTGCGGGCAGGTCATCAGCGGAGCCAGGCTGGCCCTCAGCAGGGCCTTCCATGCCCACCCGCAGGTCTCAGCCCTGGACAGGCCAGGTGTGCCCCGGGCAGTCCATCTGCTAGGGAGCCAGACACAGGGCAGCCCGCCAGGCCCCAGGAGAGCAGGGACAAGGCCCCGCCCTCAGGGATCCTGCCGCAGCACCCCAGGAGGGCCATGGGCTTCCTGACGGGCGGTGACTTCTCACCTCCCTACACTTCCCGACAGCCTGGGGCCCCGCCTCCACCAGGGCAGAGGGGCCTGATCCCAGCGAGAGCGGGGGCTCCACCACAGCCTCACGGGCGTACGCAGGGGAGCGCTGCCCCATCCTGGAGCCTCCAGGGGCCAGAGCTGGAGGGTCCGTGCCACCCAGCATCCAGCAGGAAGGGCTCCCCCGACTCCCCTGGGCCTATGTGTGACAGGACAGGGCAGAATGCTGGGCTGTGCATGGGCCTAGTCTGTAAGCAAGGGTGTGCAGGCGTGCCTCTGAACAGCGGGGCGGCATGGGGACACTGGGTGTCACATAAGGGGAGCACCCAGCTGGGCCCTGGGGGCCCATCCCAGCCTGCATCTCCACAGCTCTGTGGCATGCTAGGATCACCTGTGTTTCTGTGTGGGGTCCTGGAGGCCAGAGCGGGCCGCATCATCCTCATTCCATCCTCATTCCATTGCCTGTGGAAGCCCCCCGCCGAGTGTGCTTCACCCTGCTGGGGGCCGAGGCCCCCAACAGCCCTGGCCCTAACCCAAGCCCCAGTGGGTGGAGCAGTGGCCCCTTCTGCTGACCTTGGGAGCCATGTTGGCACGGTGGGCAAGGAGGAGCAGGCTTCCAGGTGCCCTGCAGCGTACGTGGTGCCACCTTACAGTGGAGGCCGTGCTGTTGGCCAGCAGCAGCCTCCATCTTAGGAAGGGGAACTGAGGCCAGGGAACAACAGGGCAGCCACCAAGGCCAGAGACGGACAGGGGGTGTCCGGGAGGGTGAAGAGATGGCCGCTGGGGTGCTGTACAGTATATCCTTGCACCTGAGCAGCCAGCTGGGCACCTCAGCCTGCTCCTGCGTGGGCTGTGGGCAGAGATCCTCCAGCCTGGCCCTGCAAGGTGTGGTCCTGCCCATCAGCACTTACACTCCCTGCAAGCCAACTCCCAGTCCCTGTCCATGCCCGCCCTGGACCCCGACTTCAGTGGGGCCTATTGCAGAAGCCCTTGGACCCCATCTGTCTCCCTCTGGACTTCGGGAGCCTACCCTGTCCCCACGATCTTGCTGTGCCCAGCCCTACCCGTCACTTCCCCCGTCACCCCCACACACATGTCCAGGGAGCTCAGCTCCAAAGACCTGTGGCAGGTGGGTAGGAAGACGGGGGCCTCCTCCACGAGACCCCAGCCTGGCTGAGAGGGGAGACTAAGCCCCCAGTGAGCAGGCACAGGCAGACCAGTGCACGTGTCCACCCTGTGCAGGTGCCAGGGAGAGCCTCGAGGGAGCAGCCCTCCCAGGGCCCTGCTCCCACCCAAGTCCTGGCCTGGCAGCACCAGCATCTCCAGGCCCAGCATCAGGGAGAGGGCCAAGGAAGAGGGTGCCTGCCTTGAGTTGAGGGCCTTGGAGCTCCTGAGTGGCACAATGAGGAAGCATAGTGACTGGCATAGGCCACGGCCAGGGGAGACACTGGGGAGGGAGCCACCAACCCAGGGCACTGGCCCCATCCAGGCTCAGGCGGTTGGAGGGCCCTCAGCTGCCCAGGTGGCTCTGACTTGTTCCTGGTGTCACTCCAGGCCCTGCCCCTTCTAGGCCCCACCCCGGGGGGGGGGTCCACCTACTTCTGGCTCTGGCCCCGCCCAGTCTGCCCAACCCTTGCCTCTGGGGGTCCCACCCACTCCTGGCTCCGCCCCCTTCCAGGGCCGGGCCAGAGGCTGCCAGCCATCCAGCCAGCCCGAGGGAGGGTGGGGGCAGCCTTTCACTCACTCCCCTCCTCTCTTCATTCTGTGCTCCAGACACCACTAACTGTATGGAAATGATGACGGGGCGGCTTTCCAAATGTGGTAAGAATCCCCCACGCTCACCTGGCGCCTCTGCCTGCCACCCCACTGCTCATCCCCAGCCCGCTCTGGCCGCCCCGGCTGTCCCGGCTTCCCTGTATAAATGTAGGCGCCCAGCAGCTTAGGTGTCCCTGACCCCATCCTCTACCCACCCCTGCCCAGCCCTAGGATCAGGACAGGCCCAGGAAGGGCACCCCCACCAAGACCTGAAGCCAGTGAGGGTCCCACGTGCAGGCTGTGGTCTGGGGCAGGGGCCGGTGCCCATCCTTCTGTTCACTGGAGGCTGTGCCTGGCAGGGAGTGGAGGGGCCCACAGCTCGGGGCTCAGGTGTGAGTCAGGCTTAGGAAGTGGGGTGGAGGTGCCTCCACCGGCACCCGTGGGCGGGGAGCGCAGGGCTCAGGAAGGGTGGGCTCTCCATTTCCACCCCACTCCTCTGGACTGTCCCCATCCAAGGGACCTGGGACGTGACTCTAGCTGCCTGTCTCCAGCCCCCCAGCCTGCCTCCCACACCCACCTCCTCCATGCCTGTCCACTCATCTGTCCATCTGTCTGTCTGCTGCCAAACTGTGTCCAAGCTGGTTGGGGGCCGGGCTTCAGGCCTCTCTGGGGCGGTGTAGCGGGCACCCCGTCTCCCCGTCTTCCACCGGGCCTCACGCAGGGGGGCCAGCAGCTGCCCCCAGGGCCCTTCGAGGCTTCAGAGCTCCCAGCAGGCCCTGGTCTCGATGCTGTCATCTCTGGACTTGGGGTGGGCCAGCCCTCAAGGCTGCAAGGTGGGAGGAATGGGGGGGCAGGGCCTTCGGGCCAGGCCTGGGGAGAGGGAGGGAGGGGGGCGTCTCACCACCTGTCCCAAGCCTCACTTCTCCAAAGGAGTCCAGGGTCCTGGGCAACAGCTCGGAGGTGCTGGGGTCCTGAGCTCCTGGCCCCACGGCACACAGCTCCCCACACCGCACGGCCCCTGCTGGCGGCCGCCTGCCCACCGCTTGCCGCCCGCCGGCCCCCGCGCCGCCCCATCTCAGCCTCATCTCTGGGTCCCCTCCCTCGTCAAGGCCCCTTCGTTCATTGGCTTGTTTGTTCTCTTTCTCTCTCCTTCTCTCCCTTCCTCTTTCTCTCCCCTTTTTTTTCTTTTTTTCTTTCTTTTCTCTTTTTTTGTCTCTGTTCTGTGTACCCAGGCAGCCCATTGAGTAACTTCTTTGACGTAATTAAACAACTTTTTTCAGACGAGAAGAACGGGCAGGCGGCCCAGGCCCCCAGCACGCCCGCCAAGCGGAGTGCCCACGGCCCACTCGGTGACTCCGCGGCCGCTGGCCCTGGCCCCGGAGGGGACGCCGAGTACCCAACGGGCAAGGACACGGCCAAGACGGGCCCGCCCGCCGCCCGCCGCGAGCAGCCTTAGCCACACTAGCCCCCCCCCCAGCACAGCACTGACGGCGGCTGCCCCGCCGCCCGCCGCCCGCCCCGCCCCGCGTGGACCCGTGGCCGCCCGCCCGCCCGTCCAGACTGTTCTCAGAGCCTGGGAGGAAAGGAAAGGGGCGCCGGGGCCGGCCTGCGGGCTCTGCCACCCACGCCCGCTCTCTTTTCTCTCTCCTGTCTCTGTCTCTGCCTGTCTCTGACGGCGTCACTGTTTCCACTCTGATACCAGGAATTATCCCGAAAAGTTAACATGCCACCTCCACGAGGCCATCCTCTGTGACCGAAGGCAGCTGCTGCGGACCCGCCCTCCCTCTGCTCCTGCTGTTGCTGCTGGGCAGCCAGGCCCAGCCCAGCGCCCCGTCCACCCCGAGGCAGCTCCTCGCCTCAGCTCCGCACGGCCCGTGGCAGGAGGGCCAGGCTCAGGGGAGCCGCCTCCAGCCCGGCCAGCCCGGACTCCTGGTCACCCGGTCACCTGACCCCTCAGCAAGAACAGCCTGCCTGGAGGCCTTCTGGGGCCGGGACGCCCCGGCGGGCAAAGTAGCCGCAGGAACAGACCCTGCCCGCCGCCTCGCGCCTCCCTGGCCGCGCCGCCTCCTGTAGTCTTGGCCTCCCTGGCTGCCTCCCGGCCTCCCGTCTCACCCACGCCTCCCTCGCCTCCTCTGGGGCAGCCGTGGGCTCTGGCGCTCCTCCCTGGCTGAGGTGGACACAGAGAGACCGCGGGGCGTCAGAGCCTTCCCAGCCGGCCAGGCCACTGGGCTGGGATCAGTGTTATTTATTTGCTGTTTTAATTTATGGAGTCTTTGCGCCTCTGTTCAGGGAAGGGCGGCAGCCGCATCCCCTGCTGTCTGCGCGTCTCGGGCAGTGGGGGGTCCAGGGCCGGGGCGCCCTCTGAGGACAAGAGCCGGCGGGGTGCGGGGGGCTGGCGAGCTACTGTAAACTTTAAAGAATTCCTGCAAGATATTTTTATAAACTTTTTTTTCTTGGTGGTTTTTGGAAAAGGGTGTGGGGGTGGGGGCGCCGCAGGGGCAGGGCCAGGCCAGGTTTTGTGTTTCCGTCCGGGCTCCTGGTTGTTTCTGCACACTCATCTAGCTAAAGATGGCGCGGTTCCATCTGTCCTGGGTTCTGCTGCTCACCGTGGAGAGGCGGCTCCACCTCGGGGGGGCTCAGGGCATCTCACAGCGGGCGCCAGTGCCCATGCCCTCGTCAAGACCCAGGCTGGGGCAGTCTTGGCTTTGTGTCCAAGGGTGAAGGGGTAGGAGAGAGGCCCTCAGAAGGCCCTCCCCACGCACGGGACGGCAGGGGCGCGGGCGGCTTTTCTTATTAAAATGAAAAAAAGTTGAAAGAAACCGAAGGACAGAAAGCCAGTGGTGCTCCTCTGCAGGGTGTTCTGTGCAGAGCGCAGAGGGGAGTGGGGGCTGCAGGCCCGTCCTGCTTGGTGCCTGCCGCCCTCGCTTCACCCCAGCTCCAGCTTCTGTGTTCCCGTGTGACCGGCTCCCCAGGTGGGCACAGTGCCCGGGGGCAGCGGCCGGGAGGGCGGTGGCGTTCTGATGCATGCCTTTGCCACAGAGTCCATCTGCTTCGGTGCCCCTGCCTCGCACCCACCTCGTGTATCGATTTTGACGCTTCTGTTAACATCAGACCTCTGCCACAGGCTGGGATTTCTACACGTTAAGAACAAAGTCATATAGGACAGCAACCGCCCGGCGGCACAGGCGGGAAGGGCTCTCCACCGAGACGAGGACACGAAGCAGAGCCTCTCGCCCGCCTTCTGCTTCTGTGCTTCGGACACATGCGGACTCCAGCAGGCACCACAGAAACGGGCACGCGCCTGCAGTGTACCCCTGTCACATACTGTGAGCAGCCACAGCTCCGGAACAATAAATCCCTTCCGCAAAGACACGGACGCAGCTCTTCATCCGGGCAGGGCGGGCGCGCAGGGCTCTGGGACAGCCCGGGACAGCTTCTCATTCCCCGCTTGCGGCCCCTGGGCTGTGCCAGTGTAAATGCAGCTTCCCTCTGCCCAGCTGAAGAGGGCGAGGGTCCGGGCAGCCAGGGTCAGAGGTCACTTCTGATGTAGGGGTCGTCCCCTGAGGCTGCCCCAGCCTGAGCTGGGCTCGTGTCGAGGGCCGGGGAGGAGTGCCCTTTGCACAGCGCCTCTGCCACCACCGCGAGGCCTGCACGGGCCACCCTGGGGCTGAGCCTCTTCCTGGAGAAGGAGCCTTCTTTCCCCCCCTCACTTGGGAAGAATCCGGATGGGGTGCTGTGACCCAGCCTTGGGAGCAAGGGCCCAGGCTAGGTATAGCCCTTGGAGCTAGAGCAGGATGGTCCAGCCATGCCTGCCACAGAGGACAGCCACGGCCGTGGGCTCCACTGGCACAACGCCCTGGCCTCGCTGCCCATCCGGCGCTGCAGCAGAAGGGCGGGTCCAGGCCCACGCTGTGAGGCCAATGGTCGGGTGTCCACTGCAGCCTGGAGGCCAGGAGCAGGCCTCAGCAGGGTCTGGGCAGACAGTGCGGCGTCCACAGAGCTGACCCGGGAGACCCACGTCCACTCCCCTCCTGTGTGAAGGACTCGGGTGCGGCCGGACTGCACCCCACTGTTATCACTGGAGCAGGCGCTCCACGCAGTGGCTGGGGTAGGGGGGCCACATCCCTGGTCTCAGTCCAACAGAAGCTATAGCTGCCCCATCTCCACTGTGACAAAAAGTTCCCAGACATTGAGAGTCTCTTGGTGGGGGACAGAATCACTGCTAGGTGAGAACCCCTGCCCTGAACTTCAAGCTGTGTCTCTGCCCATCACTCTGGAGGGAGCCAGGGGGCCATCATGTTTGTCAGGCTTAGTTAGCTCAGAGCCCAGGACACAGGGAAGCTGGGCCGTCCCTCCTCTGCCTGACCCTGGACTGCCAAGTGGCTCACCGGTGGGTGCCCTGAAAAGAAGGCACTTGGGAGGGTCCCAGGGAATCGGGCTCCATTCTAATCCCTGGATCACAGTGTCCAGGTACATCTCACCTTAACAGGTTGAGAAAAGGAACATGGCTGCCTGGTTCAGCGTGGCACAGGACAGTCTGTGGGGCGCAGGCTGTTGGCCCAGACCAGAAGCCTTCTGACCTGTGTCCTACACGTGCTTCTCTGGGAGCGGCTGACACACAGTCCTGGGCCTCTACCCAACCTTCCCGTGTGAAGTCAGCCGTTTCAGGCATGTGGCTGGAAGCCCAAGAGGAAAGTGTGTCCAAGAGCCCTGCCCGCTTCCCGCTGTGCTCAGGAAGGGCTGCGCCCTGCAGTCCCACGCGGACACCAAGCTCTCTTGGTTGTAAATAACAGAACCCAAAGCAAGCTAAGCCAGAATCTGTTGGTATTTGTATACAAAATGCAAACAAATACAGCAGGACTTCTGACGTGGCAGAGGAGTCTCACTCTACACCAGCTGGTCCTCATGTCATTTCCATGAAGAAGTTAAAGTAGAGATTGGGGAAAAAAAGGGATGTGGCCATGGGTCAGCCCGCCCAGGGAGGGGACAGCTTCTCAGTCCCAGTCCTCAGTTCCCAGGCGGATAATCCGATGGGCACGTTTGGGGTCAGTGCCTGCCACCGCCTGGCCTGAGAGCTGGGCCCTGGTGATGAACCGACTGGCGAGCCCACCATGGGACGGCAGGTGGGTGATGGGGGACAACGGCAGGCCCGCCTCCCACACAGGACTCAACGCCAGCAGGCGGGAGGTGGGCGCTCTGGCGAGGGGCAGGCCGCACACAGCAGCCCTGGCCGAGCTCTGAGCCTGCCCTGGACTTTTCCCACAGTCACCAAGGGCAGAGGCACAGAGCCCCAGCCTCCTAAGCTGTAAGACGGAACAACTCCCTGTGCTACAACGCCTCAGAGCTTGCAGGAGGCGGCTGACGCCTGCGTGCCGGCCCGGCCCACGGGGCTGCAATCTACACTGGGGAAGCCTCGTGCTATGGAGTTGCCCTCTGTGCCCCACCCCCCAGGACCCTGTGAGAACGCTTCGGTCCGCTTGGTGTATGTATTACCTCCTATGGTTTCCCATCACCACCACCAGTTAAGTTACCGCAGACTAAGAAGCTTCAGACACCAATACCTCCCAGCTCCAGAGTCAAGGACTGGGCAGGCCTCACTCAAGGGGTCTCCCTGCTGTAGAATCAAGGTGTGCTCCTGGAGGCCCCAGGGCAGAGTCTGTGGCCGCCTGCATCCCACGGCCCGGGGACTCTACCTTTGCCACCAGGAGCGTGTGGGTGGAGCCTCCTCACAGCTGTGTCCGCACGCCCCAGCCGGCCTCCAGCTTCCACAACGAAGGACCCTCCAGCTCTCACTAGGCCCAGACCATGCCTGCCTCTCCCCGTCACTGGCACCCTTAATCCCATCTGCTGCTTTCATTCCCCTTTGCTGTGCTGGGTGGCAGGTTCACTCCCACGGGACTGGGTGTACAAAGACCTGGTGGTGAGGGACGTCTTCTGCTGACCACAGCCCACCCTCCTGCCCCCGCTGCTTCCCACGCATCCCACGTGCAAATGCACCCTTCCCCTCACAGCCCCAACCCACTCCAGTCCCAAACCTCACGTACCTCTCATCAGCTCACAAGTCCCAAGTCACACCCTGTAAGCCACCCTGATCAGGTATGGGTGAGACTCTGGGTATTCCACCCTGGGGCAATTTCCCTCTATCTGTGGACCCCTAAAGTTAGAAACACAGTTACCTGCTCCCAAAATACAACCGGAGGACAGATGCAGAATGCCAGTCACTGACATACCTGTTGCAAAGAAAGTCTGGTTGGGTGTGGGGGCCCAGCACTTTGGGAGGCTGAGGCAGGAGGATCACCTGGGGCCCAGGGGGTTCAAGACCAGCCTGGGTGGTGAATCTTCACCTCTACAGAATATTCCAAAATCAGCCAGGTGTGGGCTCGCAGCTGTGGGCCCTGGCTCCTCGGGAGACTGAAGGGGGAGGATCGCTTGAGCCCAGAAGTCTGAGGCTGTAGTGAGTGAGGATCGTCCAGTGCTCCAGTTTGGGTGACAGTGAAACCTGGTCATTCCTGTATACGTACATAGGGACATGACACACATGCACAAAACTGCAGGGTGCCCATGTCGCTGCTCCCAAGAAATCCAAAATCCAGCTGGGCACACTCCCTCAGTTCCCAGCCAGGCCTGGGAACTCCCTCAGGGGGTCCAGGGCCTGCTGCGCCTCAAAACCACGCTCTCATTTCATGAAACGTGGTGAGTGTTTGTAGCTGAACCGTGTAGTCTGCTTCCTCCCCGATTATTTTTGGGGGCCCAGGAGCCTCTCCTCACATCCCCTCTGCCTCAATCCAAGCCAACTGTTTCTTATGGTGTAAATCCCCTCATGGTTCTCACGGCGCTTCACCCCACAAGTGAAGGGCTGGGTCCACGGCGGGTCCTCCCACGGTCGTCCCTGCTTTTGGCATCTGCTGGGGTGACCCGGGGCACCCACAAGCCACGGGCTCGCTCTCCTCCGGAGCTCCAAGCCCATGTCTGTCAGCGTCCAGCTGAGAACTCCCGAAGGCAGGGTGCTCACCTGGTACCATCTTCCTTCACCGAGGCTCCCTCTCACGGCCGACCTCAGCAGTGCAGGGGGGCCGGGCTGCACTCCGGCGCCTTCCACGCAGGCTGACCGCCTGCACAGGGCAGCACGCCAGAGGGCAGCTGCGCCTCTCCCCCACAGACCGGGCTCTCCCTGGCTCCCGTTCCTTCCTTTCTGAGCTCCCACCCGCACCGTCAACCCCGCTGTGTCTCAGACGGGCGGTGCACAGCAGCTCTGACTCTTCTCAGAGTCTCAACCTCCCAGCCCTCGAGCCACATCACCCCCATCCTTCTACTACCACCGGTTTAAGGGCATCGTGAGCTTTCTCTATCACCTTCGAAATTCCTCCAGCTTCTGCCCAATTCCAAAGCCACCCCCACCTTTCTGGGTGTTTGCTACGGCAGCACCTCGTGCCTAAAACCAAACTCTGCCTTCAGCTCCTGTTGCTGCAATTGCCATGAGCTTCGTGCTGGAGACAAAATGAACCTACCTCAAATGGGCCTCACTGGGCTAGTCAGCAAGGCCCGTTCCTGCTGAGTTCCCTCCTTCCCCAGCGTCTAGGAGTTGCCTGCGCTCTGACTCAGGCCCTCCCAACGTCGTGGACGCTGCGCTGCCTGCCTGCTCAGTGCCCTCAGCCCTCCTGACAACACTGGGCCCATCCATCCAACTACCCCATCCCAAGGCCAGTGATCAGGAACCCTGAGCCCTCCCCAGCCCGAGGTCATGGATCAGGAACCCTGAGCTCCCCCATCCCAAGGTCAGTGAGCAGGAAGTTTGACCCCTCCCCATCCTGAGGCCAGTGATCGGGAACCCTGAGCCTTCCCCATCCCAAGGTCAGTGAGCGGGAAGTTTGACCCCTCCCCATCCTGAGCTCCCCTATCCCAAGGCCAGTGATCAGGAACCTGATTCCAACTGCAGCTTCTATCCCACTGTGCTACATAAGGTGACACACTGACAGACGCTCAGGATTAGAACACGGATCTTTTTTGGAGGACCATATTGAAGACCATCGTTCTGCCTTTCAGAACAGAGACCACAGAGACTGTGAGCCAAGGCTGCAGGTGGGGCCGAGCCCACACCACTGAGCTCGCCCCCCTCAGTTTATAGGCCTCATGTTTGGGGAGGGAAACTGAGGCCGAGGCAGGAAGGCTTGGCCAGGACTCCAGGTTTTGTGAGAAGCCATCCCAGTGGAGGAGAGCAAACAGCACAGTCCCCTCAGCCCAGGAGCAGGACGGGTCCACCAGACTCCCAGCAGAGCAGCAGGCGCCCCAGATGCCAGCCCTCATCCCAGCCGCTCTTCCCAAGGGAGCGTGTGCCCGTGACTCCAGCGTGCCCTGGGGACCCTGCAGCTGCATCCTGAGTGTGAGACCGGCATGAACACAAGCCCTGGACACCTCCTGCGGCCGTCCCGCAGGCTCCACACATGCTCCATCTGAGGCTGCCTCCAAGGCTGCAGCTGGAATCCCAGCGTCCTCCTGGCCCCTCCAGCCTGTGGGGACGGCCCCAAGTCCTCTGCGCCCCCCAGCACTCAGTCCAATCTTCTCCCCGGCCTCCGCCGAGCAGCCAGGCCCCAGGTTCACCAGCACACAGGGACCCAGGCTGTGTGCCCTACCCGCTCCCTGTGGCCTCAGCCAGGAGCTCCCTGAACACCCCAGTGGAGCCTTAGCCAAAGAGGCAGCCCCATCCGGCCTCCCCCGCCCTGCTCCTGACCCCCGCCCAGGGGCTCCTTGCTGCTGGTCCCTGCCTCAGGCTCCTACACTCAGCCCCTTTAGTCAAGTTCTGTGGGCATCCTGGGGCCTCCATTCTGGGGGTCCACACAAGAGCATCAGGAGACAAGGGTGGGTGACACCCAGCAGGCCTCTCTCTGGGAACTGGGATTGGCTCCAGGCACTGTACCTTAGGGTATGTGTGGATGTCGGAGATGCCCCCAGCTGACTCCAGCCACGTTCTGAGGAGCCCAGAAGCTGTCAGCTCTCGGGGTGGGGGAAGAGACGGGGCAGGGGAAGGGCCTCTGACCTGCAGCTGTCCCTGGGAGAGCCAAGAACTGGCCTGTTGGCCACAGGTGTGTCCTGCAGGCGGAGCCCAAGGCCAGAGGAGCATCATGACCTGGGCAGGCCCCACTAGCTAAGTGGTGGGAGTGGGGCTGCCCCAGGTCACCATCCGACAGGCGCCATCAGCAGGGGCCCACAGTCCAGAGGTATGTACCAACCAGGCCATGACCTGGGAAGCCCTCGGTTTCTGCTTCTCAGCCCACCCAGGTCCTGATAAGCTCCAGGATTCAGCTTAGGGCCCCCCTCCCTGCAGCATGCGTCACCCACTCCCAGGCTGAGGACATGAACCTGCTTGCCTCTGGGCCCAGCCCCTGAGCCACACTGTCCTGGCCAGCAATGGCCCCTGCAGCAGAGCCATCGCTTTGGGCTAGCCCAGAACCCTTAGGAGGAGATGCCCCCAGCTGACTCCAGCGACATTGGAGGGTCCCCACCACCAGCATGAGGAGAGGCAGGCGGCTGAGGCAGTGGGGAGAGCAGGAGACATGGAGTGTGTGCTTCCCCACGGCACCCGTGGGCTGGCTGTGGACCCCCACAGGGAGTGAGGGGTGAAGCTGCTCTGACCCCAACTCTCAGGGCAGCCTCCCGGGTGCCTGCTCCGGGGACTGCCCACAGTGTGTGTGTGTGTGTGTGGGGAGGGGGGAGGTTCACGGAGACGCTGGATGCACACAGGCTCTGACCTGAGAGAATTCTTTTTATTAAGAGTGAACAGATGAGCTAAGGGAAGTGGGTCTCGGCCTTCTGCTGGTGCAGCATCTCCACGCAGGGCCTCAGCCCCATCCTGGCCCTGCCTGAGGACTGCACCATGGGCGCTCCTTGGGCACAGAGGAGACAGCAGGAAGGGGCAACAGGAGCAGGAGCAGGTGCAGGGCACCCGCACCCCAGGCCTCACCCACCTCTGAGCTGCCAACAGCCAAGACCCTGGCAAGGCCGGGAAAGGAAGGGGCGAGCAGGGAGGAGGGGGTCTCTGTGAAAGCAAGCCCCACCCCCAAAGCAGAGCAGAGACCCAAGTCTGCAAATCACGCCCTCCTGGGGGAGGCGCCCCCACCTCCACCAAGAGTTCCTCCTTTGAGGCCACCAGCACCCTGGAGGGCCGGGGCTGCACGGAGACCAGAGAAAGGAAAACCCCACAGAGAAACTCAAAGCATCAGTCCCACGTGTGTCTGTGGAACAAGCAAACGGGCCCAAAGGCTCTTCTCTACAAACGGCACGCATCCATCCGACAGGGGCCGCAGGACATGGCCGGGCCATCTGCGTCTGTGCAGCCCACACCAGTGCAGCCAGGGCCTTCTCAGACTCGCTGCACGCGTGCCCAGCACGTGTGCACGCACAGGTGCACGGAGAGGACACACGCCACCGTCTCTTTGCACACGTGCGCCCCTGTCCGGCCCGTGGGGCTCATCTCTCCTTCACGTGGTTCTGTGCTCCTGGGCCCCCGCTGCCGGCCCCGTCCCCGCTGCCCCCACTGTGGACCCCGCCGGCCCCACTGCACAGCACCTCGGTGAGGTCGTCCATGACGGCGGTCTCTTTGGGGTCCAGCAGGTTGAACTCCCGGGCAAAGAGGATAAAGTGGACGTACAGCGTGTTCAAGTGTCCGTGCAGCTCCAGGGCCAGCGTCTCCTTGAAGTGGGCCCAGTAGATGTGTGCCAGCACGTGGAAAAGGTGTCTGCAGATCTTCCTCACCAGGGACTCAAAAGAGGTGGGGAATTCTCTGCCTGGGGGAGACCACAGCGTCAGAAGCCACAGACGTCCCTTGGCCCCAAGAGAGGCTGGGCTCCTGGCACCTGGCCTGGTGGGTCTGGTGCCTGCTGCCCCACCCTGACCCTGCCACGCTCCAGGCTGCAAAGCCCCAGCAGCAACAGCTTCTGCCCACCAGCAGCACCACTGCGCCTTGCCAGTCCTGAGGCCGGGCTGCTGAGGCCTCCCTGTGAGCTCAGGCTCCGGAGCTACACCTGCCCCGAGGGCTGGGCGCTGGCTGGACCATCCTGGCCCTCCTCCTCAGGGAGGGGCCTGTGACTGGGCACTGAGGACCCCATGTCTCCCCGACAGACACTTGGGGCCCTCTCCCGGGCTCGCTCGGAGGGGCGATGGTGGCACAGGCCTGTTGTCCCCTGCCATCCCTCTGGCAGCACAGGAGTGCCGTGGAGCCCCACCAAAATTTGGACACGGGCTCAGCAGCTGCTCCCCAGCCCAAGCCCCCACAAGCTAGACAGTGACAGCAGCGTCAGAGGCAGAGACTAACAGGGGTCAAGTTCGGCCGCATGGCCCAGAAGGCCAGGGAGATGGCCTTCAGCCCTGGCTGGGCTGACCCCTGCCCAAGGGCTCCAGCCTCACCCCACAGCCCAGGTAGCCCCGTGCTAAGCAGGGGCTGGGGTGGTGCAGCACCACCCTCCACACCTCTGCCCCTCGAAGCACAGCCTTGGTCGCTTGCAGCCGTGTCCTGAATGCCCCCTGCCCACCCTGTGAGGATGCCCACCCAGTGCTGGAGGGGGAAAACGAACCATATTTTGTGGGGAACACGTCCTCATCCGTCACCAGCTTTTGCACGGAGCTCATGACGAAATCGACGTACTGCGGGGCCGTGCACTTGACCTTCTTCCCCCGCTCATCATACCAGTAGTACTGTCTGTGGGGACAGAGACACAGTCAGGGCGTGTGCCCGCTGCACACCCACCCAGCCACTGGGTCCCACGCATCCAGGTCATCTGCGGGCAGAGGTGATGCCAGCAGCAGAGGTGTGGCAGATCCAGGTGTCTCTCTCCCTAGGCAGGCACAATCCCTTGATGCCTACGGGAACCGCCCAGCACTCCTCGGAGGCATCGGCCTGCGATGCCTTAGAACTAAGCCAGGATCACGCTGGGGACCCTGCCAGCCACATGGCCGAACACAGGTGTGATCAAATGAAGGGGTCATCTTCATTTCCTCTGCTTCTAAGTGGCTTCAGTTGTACTCACTTAAACAAACGTGTGCCATTTTTCTGTTGTATTTTAAAAGCACAGAGGGCCTTCTCCTCCTGGGAGGCTGTGCTGGGACTTGTCAGCCAGGCTCCACCCTCTGGGAGTGCCCTTCTCACTGCTAGAAGCCAAGCCTCTCTTCGGGGGATCCAGGGGAATGCAGTGGCCTCTGTGGGCACCTGCAGTCAGCAGCCTGGCTGGGACAGGGCCCACTCCGAGGGCTCTCTTGCCCTAGTACGCAGTGGGGCTGGTCCTCATGTGAGACCGGCGGCCCCCAAGCAGGCTGCAGCATTCCAAGGACATGGAGACCCTGGGTTTGCCTCTTACTGCTGGGTCCAGCCATGACAAAGCTATATTTTAGTTCATGTCAATATAAGGTGACCCCCAGTCCCTACCACCACCCCTCCTTCCCGAGCATAACACCAAGACTCCGGGTACCCACCTGGAGTCCACCACCACCCCACAGTGCTGGGCCTCAGTCCTCCACGCCACGCCCGCAGCAGCTGCACCGCAGGCCTGAACCAGGGCGCACTGGCGTGATCCCACCACCCCACCCACAGGCAGTGGAGAACGCTGTGGTGGGGCTGTTGACACCTGAGACAGGCCAACACTACGGGTAGGGTTTCCTCCCAGAGCGCCAGGTCCCAGCTCACCACAGTTGGGAAGAGGCCACATGGCACAGGGCAGTGCTGGCCACTGAGCAAACACCCCTGCCACAGCGTGGCCACAACCAGCATCGCCTCCACTGCCCAGCCAGACCGACAAGGAGCCTCGCGGTGCCAGGCTCCACACGAACTGCTCCCACCCCACTTCATCCAGCCACGGTTCTGCCTGGAATGGTCCCAGATAGGGCAGCATAGAGAAGGATGGACCCAAGCCCCAGCTGCTCTTCTCTCAGCTGGCACCAAGCATTGTGCCCTGAATTCCAGAGCCCACCCAGCACCTGGTGAGACGCCCCGAGGTCCAAGACAGGGCTACTGGGGGTGTGGCGAGAAAAGCCATCCTTCTAGCTGGACATGGGGCCTCTGGTGTCTCTGGGCACCCCTTTGCTGTGTCCAAAAAGCCCCTCAGCCTGCGCACTGCAGGTCCAAGGGGGAGTCGCCAGTTTACCAAGAGGCTAGAGGATGACACTGCAAGCCCTGCATGCTGGGACCCCGCCCTCCGCAAGAAAAACGGCGGCCAGGCCACCTCCCCACACCACCAGGGCCCAGAGGCCCCTCCCGGCACCCACCTCCAGAACTGAACCAGGAGCTCTCATGCGTGCTCCATGCGGGGCCAAGTCAGGCCACTCGAAGGGAAAGTGCGGCCCCAAAACGGACAGGCCACGGGGACGGGGGCGCAGCACCCACACCTGCCTCTCAGGGGCCATCCTCCCCACAGGACGGCCCTGTGTGACCTCCGCACCCACCTGCCCAGACTGCAGGCCTCACCTGAAGCATCGCCACCGAGCTGTCAGACCCTCTGAGAATGCAGAGACAATAGTCCTTTCGGCATCAGCTCCTCAAAAACTATGTGGAGGATGCAGGCATTCCCACTGTCCTGGGGTTCCCTGATGGTATAGGGGAGGCCTGGGCCCCCGAGGGCCAGGTTGAGGCTCGTGTTTCTGGGGAGGAGACCCAGTCAGGACAGCCCAGCACTCTGACGTCTGACCACAGGTGTGAGACGGGTCACAAAACAGTGGAGGTCAGAGACAGACATTTTTCCGTAATCTAAAGCCCACAGAAAGCAGCAACTGAGGGACACTGCGGGTTGTCCCATCTGTTCTGCAAGATGGAACTCCACTGTTTCCATTTACTTTTATCACTTAACTGTTGCTCGTATACGGTTCTACGAATGAAATTTCATCCATGTGTGCACGTATTTACAACCACAATCAGGACACACAGTGGCTCAAGTGGCCCCTCAGAGCTGTGCTGCTCTGCCCCCAGCATGCCAGGATGGCTCCTCGGGAATGGGCCATGGGAAGGAGTCGCGCTGTGTGTATCCTCCTGAGCCGGGCCTCCCTCACTTGCAGGAGGCCACTGGGTCACAGCCACATGTAGGTGTGTCGGGAGTCCACGGCTTCTCACTGCCCAGACACAGCCCCTGCAGAGACACAGCATGTTCATCTGTTCATCCGTGTCCCTGCCAGCAGAACAGAGTCCCAGGCGGCCACATCCTGGACAGCACCGGCGTCCTGACGGGCATGTGTGCAGGTGGACAGTGTCTGCCCACGGCTTCAGCATGCATTTCCCTAACTGCTAAAGACACACAATCCAGAATTGCCTCATCTGCCATCCTTACACCCTCTTTGGTGAACTGTCTGCTCATTTATTTTGCCGACAGTTAACTGTTTTGTTTTCTTGCCGATGAGTTGTGTAAATTCTTTGCGTTTTCTGGATACCAGTCCTTCGGGGGATATGCGATTTGCAAATCCTTCCTCTCCCAGCCTGGAGTTCGTCTTCTCTTCAAAGTGTCTTTCTTGAAGCCAAAGTTCTAAGTTTTGATGAAGTGCGATTTGTTGGTTCTTTGTCATCACTGGATTGCTCCTTTGCTGTCAATCCAAGAACTCTGCCTAATGCCAGGTCGTGAGGATTTCCTACAGTTTCTTCCAAAAGCTTTAAAATAGTTTGATGTTTGTATGAGGCATGAGGGTTAGTCAGCATTTGGTGCTTTTCCCAACAGCATTTGTTGAACAGACTATCCTTTCTCCCTTCAATTTCTTTTGCTCTTTGTCAAAACTGAGGGCCCCATTTGTGTGGGGTTATCTCTGGACTCTCCACACGTTTGTGGGTCTATCTCTGGACTCTGTTCCACAGAGCTGTGTATCCGTTTCTTCAACGCCGTGCCCTGTTGATTTCTATAGTTTCACAGTAAATTTCAGAAGTGTGAGATTCCTCTTTTTCAAAATCGTTGTAGCTATTTCAATTAATTTGCCCTTCCACATTAATTTTAGAACTGGTCTGTGACTCTGCTAGAATTTTGCTTGGGACTGCACTAAATCAACAGATCAGTCTGGGGGAGAATCTGTGCTTGCAGTCATCTTCCAGGTGATAAGCGTGGTACGTCTCTCCAAGATGGAAACCTCAGGTGATAGAGAAGTGTGGTGCATCTCTCCATGATGGGGACCTCAGGTGATAAGCGTGGTGTCTCTCTCCATGATGGCGACCTCAGGTGATAAGTGTGGTGCGTCTCTCCAAGATGGAGACCTCAGGTGATAGTTAAGTGTGGTGTGTCTCTCCGTGATGGAGACCTTTAATTTTCTGCATCAGCATTTTGGAGTTTCCAGGGTGCAGATGCCGGGAATGTCTTGTTAGGGTTATAACTGAGGATCTCATTACTTTTGGAGCTATTTTAAATATTCAGTTTTCAATTTTGCATTGCTAACACAGAGCCATCACTGACCTGTTTGTTGACCTTGCTAAATATAATCCTTATTATTATTTGCTGCAATCCTTGAGGTTTTCCCAGTCCCGCAATGTGTGCACAGGGGTACAGCAATACCCCCATCCACAGGGGATGCCCTGCCACAGCCCAGGGATGCCTGAAACCACGGACAGCACGGAACCTTAAACACGCTGCGCTTTCTCCTATGCATACGTCACTAAGATAAAGACAGGAAGATCAGATTGACTTAGATAGGGTCTCGCTACGTGGCCAGGTTGGTTTCGAACTCCCAGCCCCAGTAGCCAAGATTATAGGTGTGAGCCATCACAGCCAGTGTCATTTATAAATTGAGGACAGTCCGCCCCTGCCGGCCTCCTGGACCACGCTGCTCTTCCCATGGTCTCACCCTCCACCCACAGATTCAAGTGCTCCACACGCACCGTGGCTGCCACGTTCACAGTTCCATGAAAGTGACTTTTTCTCCCTTCCTCACAATTTCATGAAGAGATTTGTTCCTACCTTAGATCTTAGCAACCTCAGCACACAATTTTCTTTCTACTAAAGAACATTCATTCACCTATTCACCTTTTCACCTTGAGGTCCGGGAAGCACTTTGTCTTCTCGTTGGCAGATCTGAATCGCCAGCATCACACTCCCGCACTTTGGGCCGCCTACGTCAATTAAGGGCAGTCCGACCACAAGCACCTGGCACTGTGGCAGTGGACGGCTCAGGCGGGCTGAGGCCCGGCTGGACCGAGGGAGGAGAACACGCACCTGAAGTAGGATGGCCAAGACTGCGCACACCACTCAAAACAGTGTGCAGCTCAAAACTTGCTGTTTATCTCGGGAATTTTCCATGTAACATTGTCAGACCATAGTTGAGCATGGGTAACTGAAACTGTACAGAAGGGGGACCTACTGTTTTCTTTCTTTTCCAATTTGGATGCCTTTTATTCTTTTTTCTTACCTTATGGCACCGCCTATCTTGGGCTAGTTTCGGTATTTTAATGCTTTCCAAAGAGTTGGCCCATTTAATCCAAGCTGTAGAACTGATCTGCACAGAGGGTTGTTTTTTGCAATACTTCCTTATTATCCTTTTACAGCAATACTCCTCTTGACGTCCATGGGGTTGAGTGTGACATTTTTCTTTATATCCATGGGGTTTAGAGTGACACTCACTCCTCTTTGTTAACTGCATTTTCTCTCTTATCTTTGTATCTACTAAAGGTTTACCAATTTCATCATCAAGTGACCACATTCCGGCCTCACTGATCCCCCCACTGCCTTAAAAGTCAATTTGGTGCTGCTGTTCTCATTTACTTTCCTCTGCTTCGAGTTTATTTTGCTTTTTCTCAAGCTTTTTAAAGTTGGAAACTTAGGCTGAAAAGTCATCTTTTTGTAAAACAGTATTTAGTCCTGTAAATCCCCTCTAGGCACTGCTTTCATTATGTCTCACAGATTCTGACATGCTGTATTTTCATGTGTGCAGTTTTTGAGAGTTTTCCTTTTATCTTGAGGCGTCCTCTCTGGCCGATGGATTACTTAGAAGTGTGTTGATGTGCAAGTGTTTGGAGATTTCCCTGTTTTCTGTTGCTGATTTCCAGTTTAACTCCACCATGGTCACAAAACTTACTTCATATGGTCCTGGTTTTTAAAAATGTGTTAAGGGCTCTTCTGTGGCAGGTGTGATCCACTGCGACAGCTCGTCTCTGTGAGCTAAAAAGACAGGGTTGTGCTGCTGAGGCCGCAGTGTCAACCCAGCTGACGGGTGGTGTCACCAGGCGCCCTGCCCTCGCCGACTTGTCTAGGAGGCTGTCAGCGGAGGAGCGCTGGAATCTGCAGCGGGCCGTGATTCTGCCCGTTTCTCCTGCAGCGCCTTCAGCGCGTTCTGCCCAAAGCCCTGCTGTTTGTGCATACACGCTTATGGCATGACCTCTTTTCCTCAAGAGCTGCCCCTTTTCTAGAACCTTTTCACTCCTGCTCATTTCTTCGCTCCAGGTCTCCCTCGGCCCAAGACAGCCACTCTCACCCACTTCTGAGGCGGGTTTCCTCTGCCCCTCTTCTTCTGTCCTCCTACTTCTAACCTGCCTACACCACAGCATCTACAGTGATGCTACATACAGGACGCTGGTACCCAATTCCTGTGTTGAAAGCTGAACCCCAGATGTGAGGGTATTTGGAGATGGGGCCTGTGGGAAGTGATGGGGTCGCAAGGCAGAACACTCATGAACAGAATGAGTGCCCTCCTAAGGCCCCAGAGAGTTCCCTCACCCACCTTCCTTCCAGCAGGAAGGCGCTGTCTGTGGACCAGGAGGGGGCCCTCACCAGACACTGAATCAGGCTAATCAGACTCAGTGATGTGATCAGCGTCCCCTTCTTAGTCCACAGATGGCAGGTCTTGACCATGGACTTTCAGCCTCCAGAACTGCAAGAAATAAAATTCTGTTGTTCACAAGCCACCAAGTCTATCACGTTTCGTGACAGCATCCCAAATGAAATCCGACAAATGAGCTTCTGGCAGACACCAGAGAGCTGGCTTAGTTTAAAAATCTATCCTCATACGCTGTCCTGACTGGTACATTCACGCCAGTCCCGTCTGCTGATCAGTCAGCATTTAGGTGTTCCACTATCTGCTGTTTGCTGCCTCTGTTGCTTATTCCTTATGGTATTTCTCCTTTTGGGCTTTCTTTCGGGCCGCTTTTATGTTTTTGTACTTCATTTGAAATACCTATGACGACTCTGTCTCTCTGCACACGGCTCTGCAAGGCTGCTCAAAGGGTTGTAGCGGCCACCTTAACCCTGTGTGCTCGACGTGGCACCCGCACACACGCTTCCACTGGAGCATGGCAGCTCTCCCACCTACAGCCCCACCGCCGCCACAGGACCCACCCCGCCATGGCTGTCCTGGAACCGGCGCACACGGACACCGCCCTCGTCTCCCTGCGCCATCACTCGCGTCTCCAGATACTCAGGGGAAGGAGGAGAGCCCTGCAGGGAGTCTGTGGAGCAGGCTTGCTGGCTGTGAGGGCTCTTGGTTTGGAGTGACTTTGGACACTGGCCGGATGTGGAATTCCGGGGTGACCATTCTTTTCTCCCAGCACTGTAAGAGGCATGGGGCTTCCATCTTCCTTCTGGCCTCCGGGGTTCCTAACGAGCGCCGCCGTCGTTCTGTGCGGCGTCCCTCGTCGCTACCAGCCACACCATCTAGCTGCTGCTGAAGGACAGCTGCCGATGGCTTTTTCTTTGCCCCCAGTTCTTGGCGTTTGGTTTGTGTATAGACGGCTGCACGTGGCCGTCAGCCTTACGTGGGGTCTGCTCAGCTTCTGAAGTCTGCAGGTTTGTATCTGTGGGAAGCTCTCAGCCATTATTGCTGCAGCGTGTTTCTGGTCCCACCCCCTTTCTTCTGAGTCCGACATCAACCTTTTTGGGACTGTCCTACAGGCCCCAGCAGGGAGGACACATGCCTCAACCCCAGGGCCCTCAGGCTACCAAGCAGACCTACTGGTCTTGCAGGTGGCAAGCAGCCCTGAGGCCCTCTGGGAAGCTTCTGTGTTTCTCAGTCTGAGTGGATTTCTGTCCCTTGGCTTGAAAGGATTTCTGGGAAGGCAGTACATGCAGTTAATTCACAGACCTCAACTACCACCATGATGCTGGTTCCAGATGCAAAGGACCCTGGGTGGCCTAGGCCCTCCAAGGGGATGTAGGTCTGCCCAACTTCCATCCTCTGCTCCTCCAAGGAACCCCTTTTCCAAACAAACCCAGTGCTACAGAGCACCAGGAGCAGAGCCACTGGAAGGGTGCCGGGCCCCGCCTGCCCAGGACAGCTCGGCCAGCGCTTGGCCACAGGCGGCTCCGGAGCCACAGTGGACACAAGGCTCTCGGGCACTGCTCTGCCACCTCAGGATCACCTCCGCGTCTGATCCACAGAGGCCACCTCCATCTCACATTGAGCTTGCGCCCCTCAGGGTGATAAGCACTGTCCCCATCATCTTCCCGGGCTGGGCCTGGCCGTGACACCTCATCTTCCTGGGGAATTGAGAGAGTGTAGTCAGTTGCTGTCTGTACCTGCCCTCGTGTCAACCAGAACAAAACCCAGCTGTGACCTGTTGGGGCCATGAGGGCAGGGCCAGCAGGACTGAAGCCAAGGGAATGCCTGCCACCTGCTTGTGCAGAAGCTCCCCGTGGCTTCTTGAGGGCAGAACTCAGTTTTGTCTCGGGACTGCGTCTCCCGGTGCCAGGGCCAGGAAAGCCATGTCTGTGGGCAGGATGACTTCTGGGGTGCACTCACGAGCCCACCTTCTGTCCCTGACCTGCGTGCGCTGACAACAGCGAGACATCAGGGGAAGCTTCCACCTTCCCCAGCCACACACGCCCCAGGCTGAGCCCACCAGACCCAGCCTCCTCCTGCCTGCAGCCTCCAGCAACCCAGGCCTGGCGGCGCTCCTTCCTCTGCTACACAAGTGGGGCACCTAGGGCCACTAAGCAACACCCACTTACTGAGGAAATCAGGGCGTAGTGCTTCCAGGAGAGAGCTACCATCACCGGGTCTGTCGCACAGTCGTGGAGATGGCACCTGAGCCCCCACGAAATGAGTGGCGGAGCAAGGGTCTATGGCCTGCCCAGCCCAGCCCCCACTGTCCCTCTCGGGCCCACAGACAGTTCTCATGGGAGCTGGCCGAGAGGGGCTCTCTGCAATCATAGGGCATTCCCTTTGGAAACATCTCTGCCCCTAGAAACACACCCCATCAATCCCCACCAGCTCCTGCACCTCCTGGGCCCCACTGGGGACCCAACTGGCTGGGCCATTGGCCCCTGAGGGACAGGAGGTGGACACTGTGGTGGAAAGCCTGTGCTAAGACTTCTCAGGATCTCTAGGTGAGAACGGAGTCCGAGAGGACAGGAGCTTGGGGTGACAGGGGCTCCAAAGAGGAGTCAGGCCGTAGCCAGGCGGCACTCACGTGTTGCACACGGCCATCGTCTGACACGTCTCTCCTGTGCAGAACTCGGAGATGGTGCTATACTGCAGGTTGATGTGGTGGAAAAATGTTGTGGCTGGAAGAGAAGAGAAGGAGCCAGATATGAAAAATGCCAGGGCCGAGCCACCCCGTCCACCCCTGCTTCCAGCAACAGGTGCGGGAGCTCGGCTGGGTGAGCTCCACCAGTCCCTGGGCCACACTCTCCCCTCGCAGCAGGGGGCTGCTGAACACCAGCTGTGGGGGTCCTCCTCGAGGACGGCCTTCCAGGAGGAGTGGGGAGGAGAGAAGGGGCCCACCCCCAGGCCCACGCGCACTGTTGCTGGCCAGCCACTCGTTAAGGTCAATCTCGCGGGGCAGCACCACCAGCTCCTTGAACTGGAAGTCGGTGATCCTGGCCTTGGTGTGCTCGGGCTCCAGGTAGGCCTTCCTCTCCTCCGCAGCAGGCTTCTTGCCATTGGGCTTGGCTTTAGACTTCCTGTCAAGAGAGAAGACATGGTGTGGTCACTGTGTGCCCATCAGGCCCAGGGCCTGCCCATGGGGTCACTTGTGGCAAGCGCAGGTGTAGAGAGAGCTGCCTGAGCCCATCGGGGCAACCCTGCCTCCCTGCCAGGCTTGTGGAGACACCAGCGGAGAGGCCGCTCCGCAGAGGGTCAGTGGAGCTGTCCGGCACAGCGCCTCCCAGGGAGGAGGGGCTGGCACTACCACTTGTCACCACAGGGCCCTGCATGGAGGGCCTCCTTACCACCTCCTCCCACCAGGGAGGGGCCCAGGGATCAGGCCCCCAGAGCCTAGCCTCTAGTTTTCCAGCGCTCTTGGAAGGAGAGGAGAAGCAAACCCTCTCACTCCTGGTTTCTTCTGAGTTGGCCAGCCTACCGCAGCCCCGCTGGCCCCAGTGAAAACACACTGCAGGCCTTGTGCAGGGCACAGAGCAGGCACCTGCCTTCCTGATGCTGTGAGCACCGGGCCCCTGGCATGAGGCGGCAGCCTGGCCTGCAGCTCCAGCTTCCCTGCTGTCCACCAGGCCTAGGGAGGCCACAGGGTGATGGGGACCAAAGGTCTATGCAGCAACCTGACCTTGTCCTTATTTTCTTCCTTTCTTCTGTTTTGAAAAGTCGGTAATGGTTTATTTAAGAGAAAGGAAAAATGTTCCCTGAATGCCAGGGAAATGTTTCCCTTTCAGCTTCTCACAGAATCTTCGCCTTAAAAGGAGACAAGCGCAGGCCTCTGGGAGCAGTGCTGGGAGTGGCCAGAGCCAGGCAGGGAGCAGGGGCAGGGCTCACGGGCCCCAGGGGTCCCATTCTGCTCTCTCTCCAGAGCACAGGGTGTGGGGTCTGAGGAAGAGGAAGCACAGGTGTGGATGGGCCACATGCAGCCTGGGAGCTTGGAGTCCCCATAGTACAGGGGTGGGACAGACATGGACTTGAGCTTCCTTGCAGCCTGCAGCCCCTCTCCCGGACACAGCGAGGCACCCAGACTCCACACCAGCCTCTGCCAGGCCACGGCCGGCATGACCCCACAGAGTAGGCTCTCCCCATGATGCTGGGCCTGACCCTGACCACCGGAGGGCAGGCCTGAGCCGCCCTGCCTTGTGCTCTCATGGCACACCACACCCTACTTGGGCAGCTACAGGTTGGGCTCAGCCTTCCCATTTGGAGGGGTGGTTGCAGTGGGAACCCAGGCTGCCAGGCGGGCTGCTGAGCCATCTCCCTGCTCTGTGTCTTAGGAGCTGTGGCACCTGGCGAGCTCCAGGTGGCGGTTACCAGGAGGCCACGCAGGGCTGCCAGCAGGAACAGCTGCCAGCAGGAGCAGCTGTCGGCATGCTCACTCTCAGGATCGGCCCCAGGTCCTGCTCAGGGAGGCTGCCCTACTGACAGTTCCTGTACTCTCGCCAGCCTTCCAAGCCGGAGCTACATTCCCCCTCCGGTCCTCAGAGTGGGCTGGGCACAGGCAGAGCCTGGAGACCTGGGTTCCCTCCGAGGCTCTGGCTGTGGTCAGGAGGTGTTGAGCAGCTGCCACTCAAGCACGGGCGCCTCAGCCTCCCAGCCTCCTCCCGTCTGCACCTGCTCTCCTGGAACACAGAGGCAAGTGTGCGACAGGCCTCCAGGCTGGGCCTCCCCAAGCTGCTCCCCCAGTTTCACCCTGTCCTCAGCACCCAGGGCTGGCCAAACTTGGTGCACTGTGGGACAAGCCTCCTGCTAGCCCGCCTTTCTTTGGACCTGGTCACGCATTCCCATGGGGCAGAGGGATGGGCGATGGCCCAGAGGTAGCAGGTCCAAGGGGACGTGCAGGACACAGCTTCTGCTCCAGGAAGGGCCATGTGGGCACCAACAGAGGGACTTCCGCAGGAGGCCACCGAATGCCTGGCAGCAGCTGCATCTCCCTGACCTCAAGTGTCCTCCTTCCCAGAAGGGCAGGATCTCAGTGAAGGCCCAGGCCGGGGCAGGAAGCAGTCACCCTGAGGCAGCCCACTGCTCAGTCCAAGCCAGCAGCAGCTGTTGAGGCCTCAGAGCACATGACACCCCCGTGGTACCCTCCTTATCCTTAGTCATTCTCAGCTTTGCCCAGTGGAGAAAACAGAACTCTGTGGCACCCCCCACCCAGCCTCGCAGGCTCTGCACCATCCAGGCCCAGGGATCTCCCCAGGCATGGCCTCAGTGGCCTGGCTGCCCCTCACCCAGGTATGTGCCGAGGCCCTGTGCCCTGCTCCCAGCTCCCCGCTGTGCTGCTAGCCAGGAGCCCCAGAGTACAGAAAGACCGAGTCCCTGGACATGGAGGGAGGACTGTTGGAGCAGGCCCCGGATGCAGGCAGGACAGAGATGGCGCTGAAGGGACTGGGGAGTGGACGCTGGACCTCAGACCACCCACGGGGCTGCCATATCTCTTACAAGAAGCAGAGAGGCAGATAGTGTGTGCACACCCCCAGAACAAAGCCCCTCACACTGTTCCCAGTCCAACAGGTAGGCTCTGAGCCTGAGCCCCACCTGGCAGGCCTCATGCACTTGGGAGGGGCCGGGCCAGCCAAAAGCACCTCCTTCCAGCCTCCCCCACACCTGCCAGCCTCACCTCCTCCTCCCTGCTCCAGAGGCCCCGTCCTGTCCACCACAGGGGTCTGCACCCTGCTTGTGCATACCAGCTGCTGCTCTGCCAACTTGCCCGGCCTGGCAAACTTCTCCTGCTCCTTAAAGAGCCCATCAAATGCCACCCTCCCCATTCTCTCCAGTTGACACTGTGCCAGTCGGCCTCCTTGGCACCCAGCATGTAACCGATCCCTACTGGGAAGTGGGGCAACCCCTGCTGGACACGAATTTGGCAGGTAGGGGAAGGGGCACAGGGAGGCATCAGCGCTGCTGGGCTCCATGGAGAAGACAGACCATGCAGTCACCACACAGGGGGCCTACCTCACCCTGCCCGCAGCAGGCGCACACTGCTTCACAGGCAGGCGGAGCTGGGGAGTGGGCTGGGAGCCCGTACTCCTCACCCGTCCTGAGGGATGAGGCCAGCACAACCAAGTGACCCACGCCTGTGCCACGAGCCTTCGATTTCATTCTCACAGATGGAACCCTGGCCAGACCGCATGGCCTACAGGAATGGGTGCTCCCAGACTCACAGACCCCCCACTCACCCAGAGCGCACTTGCTATGGAAGTCAAGAGAATACTGCAGACTCTGAGGTAGGTGGATGGCAGCAAGAGGTGGCCCTCATTAGGCACTTCCCACCACAGGTCAACTCCAAGGGATGGGGCAGGCGTGAGGGGCCCAGAAACTCAAGTTCCCAAGCCCTGGTCTGGAAAATACAGTGGCCAGGCGATATGTGGGGTGAAAGAGAGAGAAGGGCCCGCAGGTACCACCTCCGAGGAGGGCGTGTCCTGCAGTTGTCTACAGTGGGCGCCTCACGTTCCTTGGTTGAGGTGAGTGTCAGTGCTGGTTGGTCCACCCAGAGCCTGAAAGTCAGGGCTCCCAATGACCCCTTTCCCCAAGACCCAGCCAGGTAGAGCCTCCAGCAGCCACCCGGCACAGAACCTGGAGCTCAGCACACCTTGCTCCCTGGTGCATGCCACAGGGGCCTCCCGTCACCCCAAAATGCAGTAGAGGGCATCACATCCCAGGGTGCTTGGTGCCACCCCCACCCTACATTTCTGACTGATCTTCTGGGTGGGGCCTGAAACCTGCAGTTCTAACCCGAGTTCTCCCTGGGTGCTAACCCCACTTCTGCGGCAGGGCCTCAGGCTGTGGAAAGGGACTTCTCTGGGTTTAACTGTCTGCACCCCCAAACAAATCAGCAGCCCCAGACAAAGCGAGCTTTCGCCAGCCCACTATGCCCTCTGCAAAGTGAGAGGGCTTCTTTCCCACTGAGAAGGAAAAAGCCAAGATGGCACAAGTAACACCCGGCAGACATGGCAGACCCAGACGTCCACACAGGCAGGTGCTGCTGCTGCCCCAGAACCTCAGCCCCACGTGGTCGCCACGCTCCGCTCCGCGGCCCTCACAGTTCAACTCCCAGCCAGCGTGGCTTCCCCATCGCTTCCCTTGAAACCTTCCTAAGCCCCAGAGAGGGGACTCTGCCCGTCGTCCTCAGCGCCTGGCTGGGCTCCAGTCCTGCCTCCATGCCTCCTGTCGAGCTGCCTTCAGCATGTGCCCTCAGACACAATGCACATCCTGGCACAGGCACATACACACACCAGTCCCCTCACACACACACCAGTCCCTCACATACACACACCAGTTCCTCACACACACATACACCAGTCCCTCACACACACACCAGTCCCTCACACACCAGTCCCTCACACACACACCAGTCCCTCACACACACACACACACACACACACACACACCAGTTCCTCACACAAATTCCCTCACACACACAGTCCCTCACACACACAAGTCCCTCACACAAAGTCCCTCACACACACATACCAGTCCCTCACATACACACACACACCAGTCCCTCACACACACACCAGTCCCTCACACATGCAGTCCCGTCACCCCTTTGATGTCAGACACTGTTCCTGATCTGAACCCACGAGTACTGCCAATGTGTCCACACGTTTCCAAAACCTCAGTTTCACCTTCAGATAGGACACGTTTGGCGGGGTCATTGGCCGGCACCCTTGGGTTGACTTGTAGGGTCCTCCCCATTGAACACACTGGCAATCAGGAGGCAGGGAAGGATCCCAGGAAGAGACATGGAGCCGGGTGCCCAGGGACAGGCAGAGGCACGGAGCTGCACATGGGTGCCGCAGCCCCGGCCCCTGGTGGGCATGTCCAGCAGGCCATGCTTGCCTCACATCCCCTCAAGCGACCCACCGGGGAGACACTGCTGCTGCAGTGGGTGGTACCTGCCCCACTCCCCGGGGCCCTCAAGCTCAAACACGGGTGCTTGCTCCCACATGCGCCCCTGCACACAGCCCGCTGAGTGTACAGGTGGGGAGGCACCCCTGCAGCAGGTCAGAGAAAGTACAGTGAAGAAAGTGTCAGAAATGGATTTTCTGGCAACCTCCCTATGGCAGCCAGCACAAAACCAGGCGCCCAGGAGCCCTGTGCCACTTCTCTGGACCAGGCCACTCAAGGACAGCCTCTGGGTCGCCTCCGCCTGGGTGGCCGAAGCCCGTGCCCAGGCGGGCTGGGACACAGCCAGGCACACCCGTGGCGGCTGGGGCTCCACATCCTGTGGGCTGCGGGAGGGCAGGCTTCTGTGCTGGCAAGGTGGGGTCAGCCCCAAAAGTTGAGGACATCGAGACCCGCTCCCCTCCCATAGAGCAGAGGAAGTGCAGGCGGCTAAGGAGAGCCCCACTCGGCAGGGCTCCAGAGCATACCCACCAGGCTGGCCCGGGGCTGCACAGCCCCTCTACCCCAGACGGCCTGCGGGCTGCCCAGCACAGCTTACTGCACAGGTGCTGGCCACACCGGGAGGGCAGCCACGGACACAGTCCACTGCCTCCCCAGCCTGACCTCCTGAGGGCAGTAACAGGACAGACGTCCTACACACCACACCCCTCCCCCGGCCAAGCTGGCAGGTGTCACCTGAGCACTTTGCTGACAGCCTGAAGCACCATTTTGCAGCAGAGTCCGGTTTTGGGGGACTGGCTGGGCAGGGCTTGGTCTTCGGGGAGACTGCAGTGCTCTCTCAGCATGATGTGGGTAGTAGGGAAGGGAAGCGGGTGGGGTACCGGCTGGCCAGCACACGCAAGTGCCTGCTGCCCAGGCCCTCCAGCCTCTCGGCCCTCCACCCTCACTCCCTGGCCAATGGGACGCCTGGCAGAGACAAACAGCTGCTCCCTTTCCAGAGGCAAGGGCCGGCCAAGGCTGGTTAAATAAGGGAGCATCTGAATTGGCCTTTCAAAGTGGCAGGGCAGAAAAGGCGGTGGGGGTGGGGTCAGAAGGAGGGGACAGGGCCATCCTCGGCCTGCAAGAATGACTCATCAGAGAGGTCCTGGAGTCCATCTCAAGGTGCTCACCCAGGAAAGCCCTTCTGAGCACAGGAGCAGCTCTGCTGACGAGCTCTGGGTCAAGGGCACCCTCATCCTTGTGTGGCCCAGCCCAGCCTGGTCAGTGCTCAGACTGGGGACAGACGGACAGACAGATGGGTGATCCTGCCCTGCAGTGTGTACACAGCTGGAGGCACTCAAAGTAGCTCTCCCGCTGGATGGCCCTAGACAGAGAAGGGGCCCACCAGCCTCTGGGTGCCTGGATGGGGCTGGGCCAAGGCTGCCAGCCAGAGCCACAGGGCACCCAGCCCAAGAGAAACGTCCTGAGCAGCTCCCCATGGGGCTGCAGAGAGCAGCACGCCCCAGCCTTCCTTCCGGTGGTCTGCACACAGGAGACCACCACATTCTGAAAATGCAAACACCTGAGAGGGCAGTGCTCTCTCCTCAACCTGAGTCATTGTGGACCCCAAGGGCAGTGACAGCCCCCACCACTGACACTACGGGCTCATCAGGAACCTCTACCCGTGTAGAAGCCATACTTCCTGTGCTTCCTGCCAATCAAGAGACTCCAGCATCTCCAGCCACTGCCCCTCAGACCCTGTCCGTACGAAGCCCTGCAGGAGTCAGGACACAGCCATGACACCAGGTGCTGTGGGGAGCACAGAGCCATCGGGAAAGCAGCCAAGGCGGGCTCACCCCATCAACTCCAGCTGCCACGAGGGCTGTGGTGTCTCGACTGCATGCACACGCACAGCCTGGACACAGAGACGGCACACTGACCCGGTGCACACACACTCTCCGGGCGCCACAGCAGAGGGGGACGGCCCCCGGTGGCCCCCCTCCCTGAGCAGCGCAGCGGCAGCAGGCACGACACACCGCAGTACCCTTCTCCCCACTAGGCCGGTCCCTCAGCCACAAGGGCAGTGTGGAACTCATCTCTACAGAACCAGCAGCCCAGTGAGGCTCAGGATGTCCATGTGCCTGTGGGCCTTCCTCTGCCCTGGCAAGGCCATCCCCCAGCCCTGTGATGCCACACGAACCCAGACACCATGCTCACCACTGCCAGTCTGCCCTCAGGGCTCCACCAACAACAGTGGGGACACAGGTGCCAGCAGGTCAACCAAGTGGCCAAGGAAGCCACAGGAAGAGCGGGCTCCGGGTCTAGGGAGGTTCTGTGAGCAGCAGGGCTGGGACCCAGAGGTGCACGCTGCAGCACTGCCCGCTCTCAGAAGGCCTGGACAGAGGAGGCCACACAGGGGCCCGCGACAGGGAGAATGGGCCTGCTGGGGGCTGGAGGGCACAGTGCAAGGGAAGCTGGGGGTGGCAGAGGCTTTGGGCACAAGAAGCCAGGCAACCAGGCAAGGCAGTGATGAGGTTGGTACGGGGCGGGCATACTGTCAGGACCAGGAGCCGGGTATGGTGGGGGGAGCACGCCAAGCGAGCCCAGTGGGTCTGGTCAGCATGCCGCAGCTCTCTGGCTTGTGTGACGGTCCTGAGAGGGCTGGGCTGTTGCGCAGAGTAATATCCACATTCATCTGTGTTTGTTCATTGGGGGCCAAGTGCGGAGAGCAGGTATTCCTACTGATGAAAATTCAGGGGGTGGGCAGGAGTGGGGAGGGGGAAGGGCAGCTGGCACCCAAGGACACTAAGCCACAGAGGCCACAGTGAGAAGAGGAGCAGACCCGGTATAGGCTCTGCAGACTGCAGGGAGAACTGCCACAGAGGCCCACAGGCTGGTGATGGGTGCCGGTGTGGCCTGGCCCTGCCACCCCAGAAAAGGAAGAGCAAAAGGACCCTCTCCAGGCACAGCCAGGCTCGGGAGCGGGCCAGGAACAGAGAGCACAGGAGCAGGCAGAGGCACTACGAAGAGGGGAACAGTCAGAGAAAGGCGGGACGGGCCAGGGGCACGAGCCATGAGTCTGTTTTGGAGGTTACTTTACCTTTAACAAGCCTGTAGTTTTAGAAAAGTTGTAGATGTACAAAGAAGTTGCCAACACAGAATCCCCATGGCCCCACACTCACTCTTCCTATCGCTAACCCTTGCGCTAGGATGGTCTGTCTGTTAACAATGAATGAATCCATGCTGACACAGCAAGCACCACACCTGACTCAGATGTCTGGCTCCATCTGGTGCTCTCCTCATGATTAGGCTGGGCTGTGGGCGTGGGGAGGAGAGACACAGAGGAAACGCCCTTCTCTCTGCCCCATGCTCACGGCCCGTCCTGTCAGGGCAGCTCCGCTGATCTGGCTGAGGCTGTGGCTGCTGGGACCCCCGTGCAAAGACGCTCTCGTATTTCCCCGTCCCACATGGCACTCCTGAAGAAGTCACTGCATGTAGCCCACCCCAAAGGGGCAGGGAACCACCACTTACCACCCTGACAGAGGAGCAGCTACAGGAACTCCTGCAAGCTCTTCTGAGCACTAATTTATATACTCACCGTCTGTTTATACTGAGATGAAGTCACGGATATTGAGGCTGCACTCTGAGCTAGAACACAACACTACTTTGTTTCGTGAATCACACTGCATCTTCGGCCCTGGGGAGCTCCTGCAGTCAGCTGCTGTGTCCCCTGATGCGCCCCCGTCAACAGACTTTTCATTTTGGGGCACGTCCTGACTTCCTGGCACTGCAGGGCACTCCAGGCTCCTCCTGCATTCCCTGCCCTGGCGCGGGAATCAGCCCCTTTTCCAAGGAGCCCCGGGGTCCTTTTCATTGGAGAATATTATAAACTAGCCAGGCATGATGGCTCATGCCTGTAATCTCAGTATTTTGGGAGGCTGAGCAGGGACCATCACTTGAGAACGGGAGCTTGAGACCAGCCTGGGCAACAAAGTGAGACCCCATCTCTACAAAAAATGTAAAAATCGGCCAGGTGTGGTGGTGTGTGTGTGTGTTCCCAGCTGCATGGGAGGCTGAGGCAGGAGGATCACTTGAGCCCAGGAGGTTGAGGCTCCATAATTATGTCACTGCACTCTGACTTGGGTGACAGAGTGAGATCCTGTCTCAAAAAATTAATTAATTAATTAAAAACTGAGATCTGGGCCAGGCGCGGTGGCTCACGCCTGTAATCTCAGCACTTTGGGAGGCCGAGGCGGGTGGATCACGAGGTCAAGAGATCGAGACCCTCCTGGTCAACATGGTGAAACCCCATCTCTACTAAAAATACAAAAAATGGGTAATTAGCTGGGCATGGTGGCACGTGCCTGTAATCCCAGCTACTCAGGAGGCGGAGGCAGGAGAATTGCCTGAACCCAGAACGCGGAGGTTGCGGTGAGCCGAGATCGCGCCATTGAACTCCAGCCTGGGTAACAAGAGCGAAACTCCGTCTCAAAAAAAACAAAAAACACAAAACACTGAGATCTGGCCAGGCACGGTGGTTCACATGTGGAATCTCAGAGCATTCTGAGAGGCCCAAGTGAGTAAACTGCTTGAGGCCAGGAGTTAGAGATCAGCCTGGGCAACACAGCAGGACCCCGTTTCTAAAATAACTTTTTTTTTTTTTTTTTTTTGAGACGGAGTTTCGTGCTTGTTACCCAGGCTGGAGTGCAATGGCGCAATCTCGGCTCACCGCAACCTCCACCTCTTGGGTTCAGGCAATTCTCCTGCCTCAGCCTCCTGAGTAGCTGGGACTACAGGCACGTGCCACCATGCCCAACTAATTACCCATTTTTTGTAATTTTAGTAGAGATGGGGTTTCACCATGTTGACCAGGACAGTCTCGATCTCTTGACCTCGTGATCCACCTGCCTCGGCCTCCCAAAGTGCTGGGATTACAGGCTTGAGCCACCGCGCCCGGCCCTAAAACAATTTTTAAAAAATTATCTGGGTGTGGTGGCCTGTGCCTGTTGTTCCACCTACTGAGGAGCTGAGGTGGGAGGCTCGCCTGAGCCCAGGAGGTCGAGGCTGCAGTGAAGCATGACTACACCACTGCACTCCACCCTGGGTCTACACAAATGAAAAACAAAACCACTAAGACCAGAGCATTCGGTGGACTCGGTGCTCGTGGGTGTCACTTCTTCCAGGTGCTCTCAGCAGGAAGAACGCGGAGGCACATGTACGTACACACACGCACTCATACACTCAATCTCCATCTCCATGTGGACATTCCCATCTACACTAAGCGAACCGGGTCCCCCTGAGGTCTCCAGCCATCACTGCCTGGACCACACTGGACTCTCCTGCTCGTCTGCAGCCTGCCCTCCAACAAGGAGACTCTGGGAGACCCAGTGTTTTTAATCACTTTGTGAAACAACAGAAGAGGGAGATCACACGCTACGGAAACAGCAAAGCCACAGGGAAAGGGAGGCTCCTTCAAAGCTCATGGTTGAGTCCCAGTGAAAATCAAAACGAATAAAAAGGAGAGTAACACCTCCACTCACAATTAAAACACCCCGGAAAGACATACACATAACACGGATGAAGACTACAACCCAGTCAGTCACGGAAACAATGTGATTTAAGAAAAGATTTGAAGAAAGAGGCAAAATAAGAATCAGGAATGAGAGGACAAACCATTTTTGAAATGCAGTCTAACTCAGAAACCACCACAATGTCAAAGTAGAAGACGAGAAGGAAGAATTTCGTAATAAAGGCAAAAGAGATTTCTGCTCCCACTCGGGATAGAGTCACTGACACTGGACCTCACCTCCACTGTCGACACCACAAACTGGGTAGAATCTATGAAGCACCTGGCCTCAGACCCAGGATACGCCACGCAGGACGGCAGCCCCTGCGCACAGGCAATGCATGGGAGCCTCCAAGGCTGTAGGTGGGGACGGCGAAGCCACGCAGGGCCTGCAGTCTGAAGAAGCAGAGATGCCAGGGATGGAAGTCTCGAGCTGCTGAGCTGTTGAAAACTGCAGGATGGGGAGCCGGTCAGGACGGAGCAGCACAGAAAGGGGACTCCAGAAACATCCACAGGCATCCAAGGAAGCCTCTGAACAAACGGCTGAGGGTGTGCAGAGAACACCTGCAGGGCCTGGCAGAGAACAGCTCCGGGGCACGAGAGCTGAGGAGAGATTCTGGAGGTCACATGGGGCAGGAGACAGATGTGTTCCCACACCCAGACTGGAGAGACCTTGAGCGTTCGGCAGAGATTCCACCATGGCCGTGGAACTGGAGCCTCAATCTCCATCTACATGTCTACAATTGCCCAGTGAGGGTTTCTCTGGACCTGCCTTAATAAAGCTTAAAAACAAGCCTCAAATAGACCCTAGTTAACCAACAGCAAATTAACTGCCTGCCAGAACAAACCACACTACTCTTCAAGGGAGGAAAACAGAATTGAGACTTTCAACAACATTGCTACCACAATACCTGGCATACAAAAAAATTACTAGATAGGCGAAGCAGAAAAATTTAACTCCTAACAAGGAAAAATAAGTCAACAGAAATGCCCAGAGATAACAAAGACTTTAAAAGAATGAAATAAACATATTCAAAGATTTATGTATTTATCTTTTTTTTTTTTTTTCTCGAGACAGAGTCTCCTCTATTGCCCAGGCTGGAGCACACTGGCACAATCTCGGCTCACTGCAACCTCTGTCTCCTGGGTTCAAGGGATTCTCCTGCCTCAGCCTCCAGAGCAGCTGGGACCACAGGTGCATGCCAGCAAGCCCAGCTAATTTTTGTATTTTTGTGGAGATGAGGTTTCACCAAGTTGCCTAGGCTGGTCTCAAACTCCTCACCTCAAGTAATTTGCCTGCCTTGGCTTCCCAAAGTGCCGAGATTACAGGCGTGAGTCACCGTGCCCAGGCAATATATTCAAATATTTAGAGGAAAGGATGGACATCATAAACAAAGCAATTAGGACTCTGAAAAAAATATGGAAACTCCGCAAAAAAATAAACAAATTCCTGGAACTGAAGAAAATCTGAAATGAAATTTTTACGAGATGTAATTAACATCAGATTAAACAGTAGTAAAGAGAAGATTACAATAAAAACATCATTTATTAAAATTTATAGAATGGAGCTAACGCAGGGCTTAGGAAGAAATTTATAACTATAAATGTTCATATCAGAAGAGAAAGCTTAAAATGAATGATTCATATTAAGAAGCTAGAAAGAGGAAGTGCATATTAAATGCAAGGTGGAAGGAAATAACAGAAATCTATGAAATGAAAAATAGACAAATCATGAAGAATTAATTAAACACAAAGTTAGCCCAGAAAATTAAAAAAAAAAAAAAAATTGATCAGTTTCCCAAGCAGACTAAGCAGGAAAGAGTCAGAAAGCCAAGAGAGGAAGAGGGCATAAATTGCCAATATTAGAAATGAAAGCGGCATTCCTTCAGATCCTACAGATGCCAAGTGGGTAACAAGGCAATTTAAGGAACTGAATGGTAGGAGAAAATGTAGATGAAACAGACAAATTTTTCACAACGAGAGCTACCAAAACTGACATACAAAGAAGCAGAAAATCTAAATTTATAACTAAAAATCTTTCTACAAGGAAATAGCGGGTGCAGATGGCTTACAGATAAATTCCACCAATATAAACAAGAAATAATACCAACCATACACATACTCTTTCAGAAAACAGAGGACGATGACCAGCATAACACTGCTACCAAAGTGAGACAACAGCATTACTAGAAAAGGGAAATGATAGCCCAATACCCTCCATGAACGTGGATGCGAAACTCCATCATAA